TTGGCGCCTTCGTACAGGTTCAGGGCATGTGGTCCACTCGGAGGATCAGGGCTTAGGGTGCCGCCCTGTTCCTCCCTTAGCTCTTTGCTTTTACATGGTGACTGGCCCTCCGGGGTTACATGGATGGACAGGGAAGGAAGTGTGTATTGGTCGGGGACGCCGAGACCCCGGAAGAGAACTAAGGGATTGGCTGGGGCATTGTTATGGCTCAGACCGATCCCTGAAAGCTTGACTAGCACATAACTTTTTGATTTTTTTTAATCCTTTAATTTTTTTTTAAACTTTAATTAAGTTTGATATTGACATCTCCTCGGCAGGTGTGGTATTATTAAAAACGAAACAAAGGTGTATGTCATAAATCAATAAATATTTCATAACTGACTAAAATCAAAACAAAGTTTCGTTCGATCACTCTGCCTATACCATTATTAATGGCGCAATTTCCAATTGACGTAAGAAATACCGTTTACAATATATGCCCGATTTTGATGAAAATGCAAGGAAAACCCCTTACAATGTTGAATTTCCCAGAAAAATCGAATTTTGCCCAATTTTGATGAAAATGCACGTTAAACCCCTTACTATTTTAAATTTTCCAAGAAAAGTCAAATTTTGCCCAATTTCGATGAAAATGCAAGGTGAATTCCTTACAACTTGAAATTTCCCAGAAAAGTCACATTTTGCCCAATTTTGATAAAAATGCAAGGATAGCCACTTACAATTCAAATTTCCCAGAAAAGTCAAATTTTGCCCAATTTTGATGAAAATGCAAGGTTAACCCCTTACAATTTCAAATATCCCAGAAAAGTCAAAATTTGCCAAATTTTGAAGAAAATGCAAGGTTAACCCCATTCAATTTTAGATTTCCCAGAAAAGTCAAAATTTGCCCAATTTTGATGAAAATGCAAGGTTAACCCCTTACAACTTTTAATTTCCCAGAAAAGTCAAATGTTTCCCAATTTTGATAAAAATGCAAGGATAGCCACTTACAATCTAAATTTCCCAGAAAAGTCACATTTTGCCCAATTTCGAAGTTGCCGGAAAAGTCAAATTTTGCCCAATTTTAAGGAAAATGCAAGGTTAAACCCTTAAAATTTTAAATTTCCCAGGAATGTCAAATATTGCCCAATTTTGATGAAAATGCAAGCTTAACCCCATTCAATTTTAAATTTCCCAGAAAAGTCAAATTTTGCCCAATTTTGATGAAAATGCAAGCTTAACCCCTTACAATGTTGAATTTCCCAGAAAAATCGAATTTTGCCCAATTTTGATGAAAATGCACGTTAAACCCCTTACTATTTTAAATTTTCCAAGAAAAGTCAAATTTTGCCCAATTTTGATGAAAATGCAAGGTGAATTCCTTACAACTTGAAATTTCCCAGAAAAGTCACATTTTGCCCAATTTTGATAAAAATGCAAGGATAGCCACTTACAATTCAAATTTCCCAGAAAAGTCAAATTTTGCCCAATTTTGATGAAAATGCAAGGTTAACCCCTTACAATTTCAAATATCCCAGAAAAGTCAAAATTTGCCAAATTTTAAAGAAAATGCAAGGTTAACCCCATTCAATTTTAGATTTCCCAGAAAAGTCAAAATTTGCCCAATTTTGATGAAAATGCAAGGTTAACCCCTTACAACTTTTAATTTCCCAGAGAAGTCAAATGTTTCCCAATTTTGATAAAAATGCAAGGATAGCCACTTACAATTTAAATTTCCCAGAAAAGTCAAATTTTGCCCAATTTTGATGAAAAAGCAAGGTTAACCACTTACAATTTCGAAGTTGACGGAAAAGTCAAATGTTACCCAGTTTTAAGGAAAATGCAATGTTAAGCCCTTAATTAAAATTTTAAATTTTCCAGGAATGTCAAATATTGCCCAACTTTGATGAAAATGCAAGGTAAACCCCTTACAATTTCAAATTTCCAAGAAAAGCCAAATTTTGCCCAATTTTGATGAAAATGCAAGCTTAACCCCATTCAATTTTAAATCTCCCAGAAAAGTAAAAACTTGCCCAATTTTGATGAAAATGCAAAGTTAACCCTTACAATTTCAAATTTCCCAGAAGAGTCAAATTTTGCCCAATTGTGATGAAAATGCGAGGTTAACCACTTTGCAATAATATTTTTAAAATTCCAAGCAAAGTCAAATTTTGCTTAATTGTTATGAAAATGCAAGGTTAACCCCTTACAATTTCGAAGTTGCCGGAAAAGTCAATTTTTTTCCCAATTTTAAGGAAAACACAAGACTACTTACCCCCTTGCAACTTTTAGTTTCCCAGAAAAGTCAAATTTTCAGAGCTCAATTTTGAGGAAAATGCAAGGTTAAACCTTACAATTTTGAATATTCCAAGAAAAGTCCAATTTTGCCCAATTTTGCAGAAAATGCAAGGTTAACCCCTTACCATTTCAAAGTTGCCGGAAAAGTCAAATTTTTCCCACTTTTGGAGAAAAAAAAATGCAAGGTTAACCCCTTACAGTTTAAATTTTCCAAGAAAGGTCAAATTTTGCCCAATTTGATGAAAATGCAAGGTGAACCACTTACAATTTTGAATATTTCAAGAAAAGTCAAATTTTGCCCAACTTTGCTGAAAATCCAAGGTTAACCCCTTACAATTTCGAAGTTGCCAAAAAAGTCAATTTTTCTCAATTTTGAAAAAACGCAAGATTACCGGCTTGCAACTTAAAATTTCCCCGAAGAGTCAAATTTTCAGTGACCAATTTTGATGATAACGCAAGGTTAAGCCCTTACAATTGAACATTTCCTAGAAATGTCAAATATTGCCCAATTTTGATGAAAATGCAAGGTTAACCCCTTACAACTGTAACTTTCCCAGAAAAGTCAAATTTGCCAAATTTTAATAAAAATGCAACGTTAACCTCTTACAATTACATTTAAGTTAAGTTAATTTTTTAGTTCTATGTAACGCTTTGTGCGCGTGACGTATTCACTCCGGGGCTCAATGTCAATAGGCCATGATTAAGTTACCCAGAATGCCATCCCCACTTCCTTCACAAGATTCTGTGAAAGTTATCAGCCCTTCCCGGCCCAGAGCCCAGGCCCTGTTTGCATGGCGGGTTACAATCACGAGCGAAGCGCTATCGTAAAGGATGCACATCGGTATCGTGACAGCGCCCCTAGTGTAATGTGATGTCCTGGTGTAATTCTATTTTTCATCTGCATTTTAATATTGGTTTTTTTTTTTAAATTAAGGATGAAAACTTGCTGTTCGGCTCATTTTTCACAAAAAAATAATGTTTAATAACAGGCAGATGAAGGACTGTTGGGAACAGCGAACGGAATATAGGCCTGATTTACAGTATTACCAAACAATTTCGTAAAAACAATCATCGTTTCCTTTTTTTGTAAAGACGTCCGTACAATGTTGAAATGGTATTGACGGAGTCGAGAATCTGTAACTGTCCAAATACAAAGAGTAAAAGCCAGGCGCGGATGCAGCGGGTCAAAAGCCCCTCTCTCCTCCCCCCCCCCCCCTCCCCGCTCTGACACACACAAAACGTATAGGCTAACAGTTATAATAGTGATAAGATCGGAAATAAACATCTAACGAGCCTGATCCCCCCACCCCGCCAAAATTCCTGCATCCGCCCCTAAACACACCTGATGCCTGTTTCAAAAAAGCCTACATAATAATAGTGTTCATTGTTGCGTAACGACAAGTATGTTTAGCACACGTTTATAGCCCTACGAATAACGAGGCTACCGTTTTCCAAACAAAACTGCCCGAAATATCGACTTCTGTTCATCTATATGGAGCCAAAACAGATGCACACAGCAATGTTCCACGTTTCTCCGCGGACTCCGCCTATTATAAAGACAAATTGTTTTTGAGGAGAATTCTAAGGAAGCCTGATGGCCGAGTGGTAAGATTCGTCGTCCACGAATCGCGGAGCCCGGGATCGAATCCCGTAGGTGTCTTTTTGCTTTTCAACGCACGCATTCTATTCAGTCATTATAAGATGTTTAATTTCCTGTCGTAAAATACCAACTGTACCTTAGCTTAATCGGTAAGCACTGCGGCTGGTACTGTCCGTGAGTTCCAGGTTGGCGCCTTCGTACAGGTTCAGGGCATGTGGTCCACTCGGAGGATCAGGGCTTAGGGTGCCGCCCTGTTCCTCCCTTAGCTCTTTGCTTTTACATGGTGACTGGCCCTCCGGGGTTACATGGATGGACAGGGAAGGAAGTGTGTATTGGTCGGGGACGCCGAGACCCCGGAAGAGAACTAAGGGATTGGCTGGGGCATTGTTATGGCTCAGACCGATCCCTGAAAGCTTGACTAGCACATAACTTTTTGATTTTTTTTAATCCTTTATTTTTTTTTTAACTTTGATTAAGTTTGATATTGACATCTCCTCGGCAGGTGTGGTAGTATTAAAAACGAAACAAAGGTGTATGTCATAAATCAATAAATATTTCATAACTGACTTTAATCAAAACAAAGTTTCGTTCGATCACTCTGCCTATACCATTATTAATGGCGCAATTTCCAATTGACGTAAGAAACACCGTTTACAATATCTGCCCGATTTTGATGAAAATGCAAGGAAAACCCCTTACAATGTTGAATTTCCCCGAAAAATCGAATTTTGCCAAATTTTGATGAAAATGCTAGCTGAATTCTTTACAACTTTAAATTTCCCAGAAAAGTCACATTTTTTTCCAATTTTGATAAAAATGCATGAAATATGGACTCATTGGCAGCATTGCGCATACGTAAGTCCGATAATATGCTTTTTTAAAGGATATAATACGGGAGAGTGACCTGTCACGTGCGAGGGATTAACCAATAATATGAAAAAGGAGTCCGATTTTCATAGGAGTCGGATTTTCCTATGACACCGGAATTTTAGGAGTAGCGTGCGCGTGACTGACGCAGTCACTTACGAACCTGACGCTTGTGACCGCATTATGACGTCACATGGATGTTCTTAACGCGCGGTTCTCTAAGTGCTTTGTACACGCAGATGTTTATGTTGTTGGCAACACGTGGTTTGTCTCGCTGGTATCAGGGTCCGTCCACTGCATGCAACACGCACGGGTGATTTTTAGTATTTGCCGTATCTCGACATCCCGCGCTGAAATGATCTGTTTGAAATCATGTGTTGACACAGTCAAGACTCACGAAGTAAGAATGTTAGTAAAGGATTCCCCAACAAAAAGTTTCAAAAAGAACGACTGATATGGACAGCGACAACTCGGAAACAGTTCCCAAAGGTAATGAGGCGATATCGATAATATTGAAACTTTATTGGCTACGGGTTCATTTTATCGCCTAAACATTCGAGTGCTGCACCACTTTCTTAGTCGAGCACCAGACTGACGTTATTAAGTCGAAAGATTGATCTGATAGGCTGGTTTATCTTTCTTATGTGGCGGTATAGGTCATCGTCAATATTTTTTTTTTGTCATTTTGAAATTTAAAAAGGGGAAGTTCCGACCGAGGCAGAATTTGCACGGTTGCTCTGCGACAAGACGTTTGTCGATTACTTCAACACGTTCCTTTCACTCCCGGTAAGTGGATGTAAAATCAAGCCGCACACAAAACATAACAACAACAAAATTAAGTGCCCTAAAATCAATATATCGTGGTGTTCCCTGACGTAGCTCACTTCGACGTTTCCCCGATTTTCATGCAATATTGCCAAACATCTTTGTTGACCTAAATTTGACCTTAATAATGCTTGCTGTCAAACCGTTGTGAACACGGTGTCTTGAAATTTAGTCCAAACTTAAAAAACGGTGGCGTCCGGAAATTGGGCACATATCGGCTGAGTGTTCCCTAAACGTGGCACACTTGAACAATCTCGGAAAATCCCAAGTTAACATTTCAGAATTTCTTTGAAGTTGATTAATTCTGATAAACCTTCTCTTTTCTGTACTTTACATACCCAACTAGAAGTTTGTCAGAAAATTATTTTCTTATTTTTAGACGCATTTTCAAAGGGTTTACTGTGCAAATCGGTAAGTCACGCCAAAATACATTTCTGTGCTAACTTTGTAACGGGTAGATGAACTCACGATTTATGAACAGGAATGTTTAGAACTTGATGAAATTTCACTTCCTGTGAAATTTCAGGTAAAGTTTTGGCTCTAGCAAGGCGCTACAGGCGAAAAATGTAAGTGCGCCACTATTAGGGACGCGCCACGTTAGGGTACATCAACAATATTAAAAAAAAATTGTGTCATCTCTTACGACATCAATGCATATTTGTGTGTTGTTTTAGGTATTCTCCCAGCGTTTGCTGTATCGTTTCACTGAGCAGAACTTTGAATTGGATCCACCTATCAAACGGACTCAGTATGTAAGTATACATGTATAAAGCAGACAGTCAATGTTGAAAAGATTTTGTTGATTGTTATGATCATGATAATCATGTGGGCTATTATGTCTTTTCTAAGTAATATAATAGTGTATCTGTTTGATTCTTTGATCTTAAATTTAGTATCTTACATAATAAGTATCTAATAGGCCTACAGTTGTTACTTGCATATCGGCATTAACTTTCATTGACTGCTTTTTTGATTTACCGCTTCATTGAAATGATTTATGTTTCAGTCATTAAATGATTAGGCTTATTACAACCAGTCTCTCACCGTCTTTTTTCTCAATCTCATTCAGTCGTGACACTCTTGAAATTAGGGATCGGAAGCTCTTGAGTTGTGGTATATGCAGCAGCGAATTTATTCCGTATGTGAAGACAACATTTACATGAAGTGATGTTACTTCAGGTCTTCAGGAAATAACGAATAATCAAAATATATTTACAAAATGGCTACAATTGATCAGTAAGATTAAAGCAAGATGAATTCGAATTACTTTCAGTTCATGAAATAATAATAATTCATTCAAATGATTAAACAATAGAACGTTTTCCCGCCGAAACTTTCTCGGGGTCGGCCATCTTGAATTTCAACGTTTCAAGAATAAAACTTAGTTAGAAATACCATTAAATACAAGAATAAGGAAATACAAACAGAAATGGGTAGTCGAGGAATTGTGTTGTCATCTAAGGTTATTGATGTAAAGATTAAGAACAAAAATAAATAGATAGTAATAATTACCTGTATATGTGAAGACAAGATTGACATGAAGTGATGTTACTTCAGGTCTTCAGGAAATAACGAATGAGCTAGCGCCCGATATCAGACGTTGGGGGCGCTAGGTTAATTACATGTAAATAAGGTTGAACCAAAAAATAACGGGGTGCCTTTTTATAACCGTCACACAGTATTCCTTCGATTTGCTGATATACCAGTGTTCATGTCTTTATGGCTGCGACAATGGGTTTTTTTTATCTGAAACAAGGTTAAATGTTCAGAACTTAGGCCTAATTTAATAACAGAAATGATTGGTCGCCATGGTGACGATGAAGACGATAAACTCGATGACGTCATTCCTACGTTTCAACATAGATATAGCAGGCTTAACTTACCTGAGTGTAAATGATTATGAAATGCTAAAGAAGGTCAATCGAAATTTAACATCTGACCTGTATCTCACCTCTAACCTCTGTAACCAGCGTCTTGATCGTCTCAAGTTGATGCGATGGGTTCGAACCCAGAGGGCGCCTCTCTTCTTCAAAACCGACCTGTACCTGGAGTTTCTACTGTGCAAACAACTGCAGAAGACTCAGCTACATCTGTCCTGCCTTTATGGAACAGATCAATCCAGTGAGATTCTCGTTTGATTTCATTTGTCCCACTGAACTTTAACATTCTCTTCCCTCTTTTTATTTAATATCTGTTTTTCCTTCACATACACTATATATGCCAAATGAGACAGGAGAACACCCGTCAAAAACAATGTAACCTAATTTGCCTTGCTAGTTCTTCAAAGTGCACGAAATTTCCATATGACGGCTCACGGACTCTGTTTTTACAAAGCCGTATAATACGCTGCAATTCTGAACAGGCAGCTGCCCGGGCGATGAAGGCAGAAGCTGCAATTTTGTTTCTATGTGAAAACAAGTGTATAGGCCTAATCCACAGGTACACACGGTGAAATATATTTTCAAAATTGGTAGGTAGATTGCGTACATTGTTTAGGCTAATAATTATTGTCTGTGAGAGATAGCCATGAAAACTCTCACGAAACACAATATTAAGAAACTTACCAAAACTGCTATGCTTCATTTTGTGTGACACGGCTACAGACGCCAAGGACAGGATGCTGGACCGACGCCTGATGTCTCGCTGGCTCAGCCGGGTCTCCGGGATGCGCAAATTCCGCTCCTTTTTGGACCAAACAGCGGGCGAGAAGGCGCTCAACTTCTGGCTGGACGCCGAACGGTTCCGGAAGACCACGCACTGCATGGAGGAACACCGGGTCCTGTTCCGGCAGATCGAGGCCAAGTACTTCAAACACGGAGGCATGCTGGAGTTACCGGAACACGCGAAGTGGCTTGCTTCCGTCAAGCCGGGTCAGTTTGGTTTAATGAGGGAGGTTTCCCGAACCTCAGCTTCGTCTCAAGTTTTAGCTCAAGTTTTTGGCCCAAGGTACACGATCTGTTCAAATGCTATATATCACGCCAATGTTAAAGAGTAAGTCTACTTGTATTTGCCTGGGACATTAAGGGCTTCTTAATGATCTTGTGCCAGAGATAATGCCGACGCCGGAGACGAAGACGACATGTTTTATTTTGCAAATTCCTAATAGGTCTCTATCAATTCAATATGTCGTCCGCGATAAATCGCGAGTGTCTTGTGCCAAATACGGATCGCACTTTTTGAACCGGATTGTAAGCGACATCATAAACGCTCCATTGCTTGTATCAATGACGATGCAAACAGACGAAGGCGTTGATGTCGCGCGGAGATTTCCACAAAACAGGGGTGGCGGAACCGGGGCGGGGCAGGGGGGGGGGCACTTCCCCCTTACTTACCCAAGTGAACCTTTTGCGGACATAAATGTGCCCCCTCGAGTATAAATGTGCCCCCTCGAGATGAAACCCGTTCCGCCGCCTCTGGGAGCACACAATACAAATGAGGCATCGGCCAAATAATTCACCGTGCATTTAGTTTGAATCTTTAGTTCGATTTAATTGTAATTTAGTATTTGACTGCTGGGCACTTGTTTGCAGACGTTGCTTTACTTTCTCTCAAATGGTCATATAAAGTTCCGGTTTAAACGAACTTCTCATCATCCATTAAAAAGAAAGAAAAGAAAAAGTGGTGCGAAGCCATATTGCTGTTAATTTGATGGGAGGTGGTAGGGCTAATGCTTCCCTGCTCACGCTCGGGAAAATGATAAATTGGGACTATAATGAAAAAGTTAAGGAATTATTGGGGGAAATTTGCCTTGCCCGCCCCCGGAAAAAATCCTGGCGACGCCCATTATTAATACTGAGGTAATCTCGCTCTCCAATATTTCCCGTTTAGGTGGCCGAGATGGATCGAGTTCGCCACTTGTTGAACCTGGATCACGTGCTCGAGAACGACGTCAGAGTCACTTCCTTGGCAGCGGAGTGGAGGTAGAATCCCGCCTGCCAGGAGGCTCTATCTACGGTGACAGTCATGAGTGGCTTATCGCTCCGGACGCTTTCGTCGTCATCCAGGGATTCTTCCTTAAGACTCTGCAGAACTACTGGGTGTCTCGTTACATCATCCATTGCAAGACCAAGTGGTTCGTCCGCGGTGATGTGTCCGTGTACAGACCCAACTGCTACGTGGTAAAAGTCCGCAGTCTGTCGGACCTCGTGGATGAAGAGGGCGAGGCACTGACGGGGGAGGGTATCGTCAAGTCCAAGCAGTTGGTCCGGGTTGGATCGAGGTTGAAGAAGCAGAGTGCCTTTAATCTCTTGTCGATGTTCAGCTCGCCAGGCGTGCGACGCTCCGAGTTGGCGGCTATTTTGAAACTGGAGGACACCGGAGAAACGCTGGGAGTAAAACCTGACGCGGGACAGTCTGCGGAGAACACAGAGGGTTGGAAGACGGAGGACTTCCCGCTGCCCACCATCTCGGAGGAAAGCGGCATGAGCGATGAGAGCAGGAAGTCTTCTGCCAGGTCGAAATCAAGTTCTTCTCCTGGTTTTGCTACGCCGTCACCCTGCCCTACGTCACCCGAGAAATCTATATCAGTTTTTAGCTTGAGCCCAGAAAAGACTCCTAGTAAAGATGATATGAAAACAACTGGGGCGGGGTTGGGTAAGTTTCTTATACTCAATGATTCATCCCCTTCATGTGTATGATTACAACTAACATAGGCAACATAAAAACAAAAATTGAGGAAGACACCATGTGAATGACAACCCCTTTGTGAGGATACGTGGTTCTGAAAGAACTGCGAAGTATGATCTGTCCGTCCTCAGAAGAATGAACAGAAACATTAAGACAACGCGAGTTCTTTCAGATATAACCATTTGTTTCCAAAGAAGAGATTGATATTCGTGTAGTATATCATTTTCAACCTTACATGTTAAGTAATATGTATTTAATTTTAAACGGCGAGTTGTACTTGATGTGATTTGATTTCAGAAGTATCTATCGAGTCACCAGATGGCAAAAAAGATGTGATTTCAGAAGTATCTATCGAGTCACCAGATGGCAAAATAGATGTGATTTCAGAAGTATCTATCGAGTCACCAGATGGCAAAAAAGATGAAGTCCAAAAGGAACTTCCTTTCGCAGAACCATCCGAGAGTCGGCAAGGTTCTCCCTTGGCACAGGACGGGGAGGGAAGAATCACGCCCACCTCGGCAAAGAAGCGTCGTAGTAGTGACGTCACTGGTCTGTCGAGCGCAGACACAGACAAGCTTATGTCCCGATTCCCACCCGGAAGGATGCGACGCAGCAGCGTGGCTGTGCCTTACCAGATCAGCCGAGATTCCAGCTCCTCATCAGTAGGAAGAAGCTCTGTTTCAGGTGATTCCATCCACACGCCCTCCCTACGCAGAATGTCCCTCCAGTCGAACACAGGTTTGGATCCCTCCTCTAGCAGCTTAGCTAGTTCCAGAGGAAGTGCTCCGGCCGCACTCAAGAAACCCAAGCCGCCTCAAAGAGCAAGGGCCAAGTCCATGGAGTTCCGGTTGGCGGATTTCTCGATGATGATCAAGTCTCTTGATGCTACCGGCGGTGCTGCTGCTACCAGTGGTGACGTGTCCGACATTGACAAAATCGCTTCCATCGGACTACCGCAACTTGAGGCTGACATCGAAGCCCTGCAGACTCAGAAAGAGATAGATGAGCGCAAGAAAGCAGAGAAAGCTAGCCGGAGGCAACGCAGAAGAGGTTCTGTGATCGAGGATGATCAAGCAGGTCTTGGGGGTAAGCTTGGTAAAAAGGGACACAAAACAGGGAAGGCATACCTCCAGCGCGGTCGCAGAGGTTCCAACGCCTTCAGACCTTCTGGGAAACAACTCGCGCAACTTACCCGAGCCAATCTGGCACTGATGGAAGCCGCGCACCGCGGGAAGTGGAAACCACCAAGCCTGAGCAGTCGGAGGAGTATCTCAACTCGCGAAGGCAGAAAAATGGGTTTCGGTCAGCACCTCGGAAAGTACGGCCTTCAGAAGGACGAGGTCGAGAGAGTCCAAGAGCCGACCAAAGATTACAACAAGCTGACGTTTCAGGAGAAGCTGGAACAGGACTCGCGCAAGCTTGCCAGGATTCCTCGGCTGTCGCCCTCTCAGATGCTTGGCCCCAGCGGTGCTGACATTGAAGCCGTGGGCACGCTTGCTGAATTCACTAAGGACAGCACCTTCTCTATCGGTTCAAAACTCCCCAACATTAATTCAGAGGTCCATCTCAAACAGCCGGCAGCCATGAGCATCTGCCAGCCTTCCTACCGGGGCTACGGTCTCGGTGAGGTCAACTATCGCCAGAAGCACCGTCTCTTGATCGGCGCGATCTCATCCGACAAACTGGCAGGAAATCCTCTGTACAATTTCCTCCAAACGCGCCATCTCGAAACCGAGCTGAGTTACCTCAAGTTCTGGCAGGCTGCTCAGGAATATCTGATGACCGGGACGTACAGCAGCGACATCGAGGGCAGCTTGTCCAGACATCGTCTTGCCAGGCAGATAAAGGCTACCTTCCTGACACAAACCGGGGAGTGTCACATCTCCGTCGGTGATCGCTTAGCGAGTGAGTTGTGCGGACAGCTGCCACAAGACACAGCGGATGAGCTCGTAGTGCACGCTCAGAACTTGGCCTGTGAAGCCCTTCAGGAATGTCTGACCAACTTCCAAAGACATGATCTGGAAGAGTTCCTCTCAAAAACGGTAACTATAACATCAGTATTGAAAGTAGTTGGCAAGAACAGTTGGCAAAAACACAATTTGCTTCTTCAGAGGTCACGGGTCCAATAACCTTTTGTTGATGGTTTAATATGGAACAAGGGACCGATTCTTACTGTTATGATCATTTTAAATCAACAGAGACAACAATGTAAAGCAATAAAGGTTGCATCGTTTTCTTGGTCATTATTTTCTTGGTTCTTTCATAAGACATCTCGGAAGAATTTCCAGTTGGACGCCTACTCCCGACTAAAAACTCGCCCAACGGGCTTCCCGGACCAACTGCCATCACAGAAGGGCGCAGGGGCGGACCTGCTACCGTCCATTGAGACCTCGAGCCACGCCATCAACCAGTTGATGAAGACGGCCCGCGAGAGCGCAGCAGCGGAGGAGGACGAGAAGCGAAGTGTGAAGGTCCTGGGAGCGGGGACCGTCAGCGCGCTGGCCCCGTATCGAATGTGGAGAGCGCTGCAACTCGCGGAAAGTGCAACAAGGGCCGGTGAGATTGGGGATGATTGCATGCATTCTTCGTACTTGTAACTTTCAAGTGACTTCAAACCAAGAAACGGCTGTGTCCTATCTTTCTAATTGTTACAAAATCCAACAAAACCTTACAATTATCACCAATCTCTTTTTTTTCCAACGAAGTTACTGAACCAGTAGTTGTAAGTGATCCAAGCGACCCAGATAGCGACAGCGAAGACGAGGGTAGCCTTAGGCGAAAACTTACCACCGTCTACCGTAAACGTAAGATTTAATGAAACGTATTAAAACAAAAACTAAATCCAAAAGAAAATTTCAAAAACATATGGAAGCCTTCCCAACAAGTTAACCTCATTGAAGTTTGGCAAATTAACATACATACGATTTCTGATATAAAAAAATAAGGAGAACTCAATTTTGGGGGCTATTTTTTGGTTACAGAATTAAGCTAATGGATCAAGTCAACATAAGACAATAAGAAAGAATGAACAAGAAACAAAATTTTAGGACAGTTTCTCTAGACCATATTTAAACCTTTACTTTAAACTGGCGTAAAGAGACATGCAGCTTTTGGTATTAAACGTTGGTTGACACTTATATCTACCGTTCTGAATTATAGCAGTTTTTATGGATTCACTTAATTACGATAACCTGCCAAAGTTGCCTCAATACATGGATTTGCATTGACAGCGCAGGAGGCATCTAAATCCCATGCCATTCAAGAAAACTCTTTGTTTTATAAGGTGACAGCTGAGGCCAAATTGTTTTGAAATACAAAGGTGAAAAATACGTGCAGCTTTCTGGCTTGCACATGCTGGCCCACACCCCAAATCGGGGCAGAGTGGTGCTCAAGCTCTCGTTCAACATTGGTCAAAATATCAAGAGCCAACACTTTTGGGTAAAGTCTTCCCTACACTTTAGTAAAAACTTTGCTCAAAGTTAGTACAAATACCTTTCATACCATTGTCGGGAACAGTAACATTGACCAACATTTTTGTCATAAGCATTCAATTCAATTCAATCAATCAACATATATTTCCATAATGCCACAACTTCTATAAGAGATTATATACATGTAGATTTTAAAGATAAGAAAGAAAGAAGCATTCTTCATGTTACAGTGAAACAAAGAATAAAAATGCCAAATTTACCCCAGTTTAAGCGACATTTCCTTCTTTACTTACAATTTCAATTTGAAGGCAAACCAAAGCCGGTGAAAGAGGTAGGTCCTAGACCTTCGTTCGGTCCCTCAAGCCAGCGTTCCTTGGGCATACAGCGGACCATCCAAGCCCGGGCTAGTAAGCACGCACCGGACGATGAGGCAACGGCTATGGGCAAAGCGGTGTGCCGAGCTATCAGGAAAGACGGCAAAACCATACACAGACCACCAAGGCCAAAGTATGTGAAGAGTTTCTGTTAAAAACTAATGCATTTGTGCACGGACTAATTACTAATGACCAACCAAAAAGAAATGACACTTTTCTGGGTCGAAAATACATTTCTCTAGACCTTTTCCGAGTCATTTTGCCCCGAAACCTTGGAAAAAGTCCCGGGACTTTTATGACAGCAGGCGGGTTTCCAATATGGACCTCATAAAGGGGAAGGACAAAAGAAAACGTACCACTGCGCCGACCTGCTCCCCATTCGTCATCTTCAATCTTTTCCTCCTGTTTTGATTTGAAAGAGTCTTTCAAGAGGTTCTCCGCGATGCCAGCCATCAGGAATTTCTGAAGAGATTCCTGGCCCAGCGTAAGTCCGACCTGCCGCTGCAGTTCTGGCAAGCCGTGGAGGGGATGAAGACGTCCTGTAGAGACGCTAAAAGTAGACAGTCCAAGACCATCATGATTGTACGCAAGTTCTTCAGCAAGGCTAATGACTTCGGTAAATCGGCAAATAGGCAGTTGACACTACGTTTGCATCAATATTTCATGAATTCGTTGAGGAAAATAAAATACAGCTTGAATTAAAACTAAAGTGGTCTTCACTCTTTGTCTGGTTTAATCTAGGTAAAAAAAAAAATATTCTCTCCGAATCAAGCAACAAAATAACCCCGGGGAACTTAAGTCAAATATTTCAGATAAAAGTCGATTAGGGCATCGGCTGCAATAGAATTCTTTTTGAAATTAGGATCGAGTTCTTTACAATAGTTCAGGTCACTTAAGGATTTAATCTGCCTGAAGGCAAGTAGTTTTAAACAGACAGTCACACGCATAAATATTCAATCCGATAAATTTACGAGGCTGGCGAGTGAATTGTGAATTAAAAAATAATAAAAAGGCCCCCCCCCCCCCCAAAAAAAAAAAAAATGTCGAACATCAATTTTTCTCAGTTTAAAGACGACAGCCGACTGGTTCTCTGTTTCCATAAGCTGCTCTGAAGTCTCTCAAATCAAATCTTGAAAATCGCATTAATATGAAACCTTTACACAAACAGCTGATTTTCAGAAAAAGACTGGGTAAATCAGTCTCTCAACCATTTCAGCCTCATATCGTAAGTAGTCTCATATATTAAATGTGTATGTTTCCTTTCTTTTCTTTCACCAGGCAACGCCCTACAGTGCGACGCTGAGATAATCCAAGAAATCCCCCACCTAGAGAAGGTGACGCCTCAGATGCTGATGTCTGCCCAAGCCTGCGTGGCTAGGAGCATGGAGGAAAACTGGTCAGATTTCGGATAAATCCGATAAAAACTCAACAACAAACTCGATTAACGTTTTCACAAACATCTTAATTGATACATGGGCAGTAGACAATCTCAAAATGTTATCTTCACTTTGACTTTTTACTGTAAAGACTCGTTTCTCTCCCGTGTGCTGCAGTTTTCTGTCTTGCAAAACAATGACTTTTATCTAGTCGTGGTTTTTTTTTACCTAGCTCGGTTGTCGCTACGGAAACTAATTGCTTTTGTTTAAACTTTCGCCTAGAATCCTGATGACCACGGTAATCTTTCAGTGATAAATGCCGACTACGACATAATTTTCAGTTACACGCATTTGATCCTAAATGCCTCGTCAAATTTTACTTTTACTTTTCGTCAGAAATTACCGTAGCTTTGAAAGAATGCAAAGCCTGTTATTTTGAACGTTCTAATTCATCCCTGCACTGCTTTCTTTATTAAAGCTCCTGCTTCTCATTTCTTCTCTATTTGACTACGGCATTTATCTTGCTCACATCATAACCTTGCTTTAATTGTGGTGTTGAGCGTAGGTTTGGGCTGTATCAAGACACATTCCCGGATGAGGCATCAGACGAAGAAAGTGAAGAGGGCAGCACCACGGAGGAGGAAAGACTGGGCCCACGTGATAAGAACGTGAGAGACTTGTAGATAGCAGGAATTGAAAAAAAACCCAGAAACTCGCAAACAAAAAGATCAACAAATAAAAACAGTAAAAACTTTCTGCTTAAAACATAAACAAAAACAAGATCAACCCTGCACTTGGGTGTGTTTTTTTTGCATTGCTCGGGATCCAAAAACATCTCACACAAGCGTGCATATTACACATCAACATTCCATTCAATCTATTGACTCTATTTCATCAGAATGTACACTTGCGCAAAATATATTTCAATTGAAAATTCCTTCCATTTCACTTAATTAAAACCATTCTTTAAAAAATCATGAAGATGTCGGATAGAATAAGTAAGTTCCAATCTTTGAGACAACCTTCCGCAATTATGTCACTGTGTAATGCCAGTACCATCAACTCAATCCTTCAAAAAAAAATCTTCTTAGGCCTTACTGATGAGAAGTTATCAGCCGTCTTACCTGGGTGTAGTCTACTACGAAACACATCCGTATAAAGTGTGAGCGTTTATGATTGGCAGTTTCCATGACTTTGGTGCATCCATTTATAATGTCATATCTTTTTTTCGCCAATTTGACTTCTATAATTTGCAGAAAGCATTATGGGCAATGTTTATCAACAACGTGACATCATTCCGTCGCGGATTGATGAACCAGGCCACGATGGCTGCCTTCAAAGCCTACTTCGCGAAAGAGGTCCAGCGAGAGATGGAAAGTAAGAAGTGCTGGCGGTTTCAGCTCAAACTATTATTTTCCAAATTCAAATTGATCTTAGCCTTTCATCTCTGTGCATTTGAATCAGAAGCCCCCAAAACCCGTACATATCGACCGGGAATTCTGCCTTAAAATAGTCTCCGCATGCTCGTCAGAAAATTCATTTTGGGGTTAAAATTGTAATAATGTATTTGAATTAATAAACATTTTTTTCTCCTTCTGTTTTGGCATCTGCAAACCTATGAACAAAAATAAGGGATTTGTGGTTGCTCTCGCTCCTCTAAAAAGATCCACCTGAATTGTTCTCGGGCGGCAATTAATTCGAAATGTGTTAATTAAAAAGTTATTTCATAAATGAACGTGGGTGCATTGTTTCGTTCGATGTCTAATTCAAAAGCAATTCAATTTGTTTTCGTGGTGTAAGGTAAAATAGTTCACTGTCAGTTGTTTATTTGTTTCCCTCGTCATTATTGTTTGACTGAGACAGAACAGAAGCAGACGGGAGTGCAGATCAGGCGCATGATCAGTAACAAAGTCATCATCGTGGAAAGACTCAAGAATGACCTCAGCTTCTGGGCAGAAGTTGAAAGGTCAGACTCAGAATTTAATAGTTTTAAAGTTTGTCGCGGAGTGGTTTTCAGCGGTAAGACATCGTGGTTTGTTAGTAAGTTTGTGGGTTTTTTTATGTGGCTTTGTTAGTTTGTGGGTTTTTTTGGTGAGTTTGTTGGGGTGTGGGGGTGTTTGTTTGTTTGTTTGTTGGTTGGTTGGTTGGTTGGTTGGTTGGTTGGTTGGTTGGTTGGTTGGTTGGTTGGTTGGTTGGTTGGTTGGTTGGTTGGTTGGTTGGTTGGTTGGTTGGTTGGTTGGTTGGTTGGTTGGTTGGTTGGTTAAAACGGTTAGAAATTGATAAGTTGGTCGGATGGTGTTCTATAGCGATGTTCGTGGATTTTCGTATTTTGAGGGTTGTTCGGTTTGTTGATTTTTTCCCAGTTATTGATGATGCACTTTTTAAAAGTAATTATTCGTTAAAAAATGATCAGAGAGTTTCATATATAACTTGAGATTGATGGATATTTGGATGGATTGCAGATTCAAGGAGCTAGCTGATTCTGCAGCCCGTGCTGCAGCCATGGGCACCTACACACTGGATGATGAAGAGTATGTCCAGAAGAAAGCCAAGGCGCTCATCGATTGCTACATAGACTCACAGGTGCCTCCAAAACTACAGGTACAAGTCTGGGAAATAGGCTGTTGGAGTTTGTGCTGATCAGAGTCGTAAAGACCTTTCTGTGCAATAGCCGCTGTATTTTGGATTCTGTCAGCACTTCTGTCAGCAGGCTGCACATGTTGACATGGTGCAGTCATCAGTAAGTCAAGCGAAAACCAAAAAGGGGTTTTGGAAGAACAAAGGTTACCAACAAAAGTCTTTGTCACTTTCGAGCAGATAATGTATAAAACTTCATAGCCACACCCCTGGCTTGATATACGTCTTGCCTCTGAGGGGGTTTCCACAACCCAAAAAGTAGGGAATCAGTCGGCATTGGGAATTAATGACTTGGAGTTCAAATACGGTAATGAAAACAAAATGGGAATTTTATGGAATGAAAAAAAAAACCTAGAACATCAAAACATATCCCAAGATAGTAGAAAATGACTGGTGAGTCGAGTAATTTAAATGGATCATGGATCGAAAATCTGGAATAGAATTTTTCGGATAAAGTGTAGTAGGTCTTTCCAAAAATCTAGGATGCATCCCAATTACTTGGCAACTGTCGTTATTTGATTCATCTGAGAAATTATTTCTTTTACTGATTTGAATTTTTTTTTAATGTGGATCATCAGATCAACATTCCCCAGGAGATAGCGGATGAGATCTTAGGTACCTTCCAGAACGGTCTGATAGAGCGAGGCCTCTTCCACGACGCCGCTGTCTCCATCTTCAGTGTCCTGCTCTACTGCTGGAAAAAGTAGGTTCCTAATATAAGACACGCCGTGTTTTTTCTTTAATCTGGCAAGTGACTTGACTTGTGATTGGCTCAGCTATAATGCTGAGACATTTCAGCTTTAAAGGGAATGTACAACATTTGCTTAGTGCTGCAATTTTCAGATATAAATGGATTTGAAGGATTAGAACGTTGTGGCAATATTGTTAAAATGACTTGTTTCACGTTTTGGACTTATAGATGCTGAAAAAACCAAGAAAAACAATCATGTTCTTGTAGTCTGGTTCCCTGACCCCACTTAAGTTGAAACAGAGCAATTTGTGGACTTTGGGGAATTGTAAGGTCAGAGAATCAGTCTGGCAGGCTTGTACCTCTTCACAGATGTGTAATCAATTGCAAAGAAAATGCGGAATAACTATGAAAAATTAGGTGCAGTTTTTTAAAATAAGCCAGTTTTCTTCAACGCTGGTTGGCCGCGGACAAGCGTTGCAAAAATAATTTTTTTTCTTGAAAATGTCAGCACACCAGGAGCCACAATTTTACAGGATGTTTTAGACTGTCATTTCCTAACAATCCAGTAAGGTATTTCGTGATAATTTGATCATTTCGTTTTTTGATGTTTGCAAATGTTGTATCAAGTTCCCTTTAATTCTGTTGTCATCACACTATATCCACAGCATACAATGTTGTATGGCCAGCAAAAAAGGTGCAACTTTCAGGAAAGAAATAAATAAACCTGTTCAATATTTTTTTTTCTTCAATGAAATTATGTGGATTATGTGGATGAGTGGATTGAGAAAATAGTCAGGCTGTAATGTAATATTATAATTTCATTGAAGAAAAAACATTAAACAGTTTTAATTATATGTTTTCTGAATGTTGCACTTTTTTGGCTCACTCTGTACATACCAACTAACTTGGCATGAACAATTTGTTTGATTGATAATTTTTCCCCAAGATTCTTAAATTGTTTTTTGTTTTCTTTTTTTTTCGTTTTGGGATCCTTTTCATAAGGAGTTATACATTCTTTCTTGAGTTATTCTTAAAAAAAAATTCAAAAACTCAAACTTAATCATTGATGTTTATGATTATTCACATTAAAAAAAAAATTTGTTTTAAAATCTTTTTTACTCCAAGGTTTTGTCGTGAGAGGTTTGCTCCTCCCAGCAAGAAGTCCAGCCGGGCTGCCATGTCCACTGAACCACCCAAGAAGAGGAAACGAAAGAGGAAACGTCACCCTTCCACGCCACGTGTAGCTGGTGTCAAGATCAAGACCATCACGGGCACATCAGGTATGACGAATGAGCCACATCTTGAAATACATGTTAAGATATCTATCATGGTATCGCAGTAATGCTATAGACCCCCCCCCCCCCCTTCCACCCACAAGTCTACAATTTCCCCCTTTTTAGGTTAAACTGTCTGAAATTAACACGTGGTTTGTGGAATTTAAGACGTGAATTTAAGACGTGCCAGTGAATATGCATTAATATGCATTATGTTTTTCACATGCTTTTTTAATATTTGTGGGAGCTAGCTTATAGTCCTTAAAAAAATTCCCTTTTTTGTATGAAATTCACACAAACAAAGAATTTCAGACATGCTCATGAATGGCCATCAATACATTTTACACATGGAAGAACTTTTTACAGTCTTATTGAAACAAGTAGGCCCTATAAACTTTAAATGGCTCCGAAGCTAAGAAAAAGATGGATCCCACATTCTCTGAACTGCAGTTTTAAAATTTCTTTTTCAAAACAATTGTCAGGGTTGTAATCAAATAAATCACAAGACAATCACATCACTCAAATCATTAATCAGTTCACAAGTAACAGGGGATGAAAGTATGACTGATGGTGGGTTCGAGCCTGGAACCTCTGGACTGAAGTTCCAAGACGTCAGCTACGACTCAAACATTTGATTTTTTTTTTTTTTTGCTGATAGTTGACGACCATCCCAAGATGCAGTTCAGCCTCCAGACAGGCATCCAGCTGATCCTGCCTCCCAAGCCCCCGAGCTACGATCATGAGCGGCTCCGCGCCATGATCCGTCAGTTATACCCGGAGGGCGGCCAAGCCGACTCTGCCCACAGCGACGACAACAAACTACTGCAGCTGTACCAGGTGGCACAGCAGCTGCAAGCGCAACAGCAACAGCCTGGGCAGGGGAGCTACGCGCAGCGACGACTCAGTCGATCTATCGGACAGCACCTGCAAATGGCTGCCAGAAACCTCATGCCAGGCGGGCATGGTAGCTATTGATACAAGTCTGTAGAACTAACCGAAAATTTGGGAAGGGGGGTGGGGCGATAAGGACATGAAATTCGACTAGCAAATAACAGCCACAAGGGATCAATTTCATGAAGTTGCTCGGCAGCAGGCATAGCTTAGCATTTGTTCTTGCTGAGCAGATATCAGGTGGGGACCAGCCACAATCAATGTACATTACATCAGTTTGACTGGTAACCCATTTTTGCTGAGCCAAAATTTCGCATGCTTAGCATCTCCAGGAAGTTGGGCCCTTGGTGATAAATATCATGGCTTGGTTGTGCATAATTCACCACTCCTTTTCCAAAACAGCTACCGGAATCGAGAGCAAGTCATTCTGAAACTTTTGAGTATTCACCTTTAGAAAATTCAACAATTATAGTTCCAAATGGTATTTTTGTCTGATGTATTCAAATATATGTGCGTTCATGGGCTCAATAAACTTGACAAAATTGAGTCTTATGACCTGTTTAAGAATGCTTTAACTTTCCTAGAAGATTTTACTAACAAAATACACATTATAACAATGTTGATAACTGAAACATTAACTTAAAAAGTTGGGAAACATTGAAACGTTTTGACTTTGAAAACAGGATAGTTGAAAAACAAGCTAAAGTTTGTAATTTTATTCTAAGATAATCCATGGTATATACATAAATAAACATAACAAAACAATTTGAAATAAAATATCATTTTCGAAGAGAATAATATATGATTTGTGGTAGTAGCAAAGATTCATTTTCATAAGGCACAGGGTATGCATTGAGTGTGTTACTGTGGAGGAGGAAAGGGCATCCATATTTATTTCAATATTTTTAAATAAATATCCTCCCCCCCCCAAAAAAAAAAAAAAACCAAAGGAACGAAGATATATTAGATATAAACAAATCGGACAAATTAATTGGATACGGTACAGATGATTTATTTCAGAGAAACAGTAAATACACATGCCATTTCAAAATTGACAGAATTGAGGCCAAGACAAGGGTGACAAAAAGCTTGGAATATGAACCAAGCAGGTTAGAATGTCATAATATATGTGCTTATTTGTGAGAAAATAAGAAAACTGTACTGGCTATACTGTCAAGACTTTATTTCAGGATTTCATACTTGATAACTCTGATACAAAATATGATTCTCTATGACAGAGTTTATCAACATACATGTATTCATAAGTTTCTCCAAAACCTGAGCTACTCTATCAACATAGATTTGGAACCAATGACAGCAAGTTAACAATTATAGAAAAAAACTGATGATCAATTCTGGAAATCACCAATGTACATGGCCCCAAAACTGTCAATTACAACAGAAATCAAGAACTCAGCACAACATTTTATATTCTCACTCTACACTCAAAGAAGGAACTACACTTTTTTAGTAACTGCATAGCATTTGGTGTTACACAATATGAAAACTAAATTGAGATCATCATAAAGACTTGCATTTCACTCGCATTTCAATTGCATTCAAATTAAGTGTCAAAACTGCTCAATTATCGTTGGGAGAATTAACCTGTATTAGTAATTAAAAACTATCGAACCAATTGCTGGAGAACTAAGAAATGCAGGAATTAAGAAAATAAGACAAAATAATAAGGGGCAATGAAAACCAATGAGAAACCAAAAATATTTTTTCACGAATTGAAGTTAAACAGTACAGAACAGCACAAGAAGAGTTGCATGAGATGAATATGAGATGTACAAACGTAAAAAGCAACAGAAATAAGTTTCAAAGCCAAAGTTAAGTACCACAGAAAATTAAGTTTAAGGTTCCTTTCCCCATGCTTTTCAACAATTTCGGGTTTTTTCTCTTAATAAATTTTCAATTTGTATGTTCTATTCCGACCAATAAAAACAACCCCTTGTTTTTCATATTTGGCCATCTACAACCCCTTGGAAAAAAAAGTGTTGTATTTTGGACAGCAGACTGGCTCCCGGTCCATACATTATCGATACTGATTATGGGGCGGGAACCAGCCTTCCCAATGAGAATCGAATTATTGTCTGGCAGGCAGTAATTGAAAAAAATTGCAGTAAAAATTCAATAACTACAGACGGGCCAAATTTTTTTCAGTCGATATCTCATTCAAAATTGAATAAGTTTGGATTTGCTAGAAAAAAATAGCTATTTAGAAAAGGATTCTACTTTTCGGAATGAACTAGCATGGGGAATGCTCTTTTAACACACAATTGCGAAAACCTGCATTTGTCTTTAATTACAAGCAACCAAATATTCTACAAAAAACAAAAACAAATTTGCTCAAAGCAATGCATAACAATTTTATAAAAATGAACTTTCACAGAAAATAAAATTGATTACTACTAGTATTACACACACTCTCTGCACCAATTATACAATTTTTTTAAAAGGATGACGTAAAAAACTAATTGCATCAATAAATTATTATTTATGGTAGCATAGCTCTATACACTGAAAATGCATTGTACATTGATTGACGCCTATAAAGATTATGCAAGACTCAACTGAAAAGGAAAGAAAAAAACACTACCAAAAAAAAAGGAAAAAAATGAAGACAAAAAAAAAAACGCCCAAACTCAGCAGCCTGGATGGTATGTTAATAAAATTAAAGTTTTACACATTTTCAATTGTTACATGCAAATTAATATGATTAATAAATTAAATACATAACTACAATGACAACTTTTTCTCCAAAACATACACAGTTGGAATTTGTATCTCATTTTACTAAAAAGATATAATGGTACAATTTAGATTGAACTTTTTTGATTACATATCATTGTATGGGCACATGCATGTTCACTGAACAATTCACAACTCCGCGCATCGCTGCCTTTTCATTAATTTGTGCTTTTTTTATATTTAACTTAAACAAGAAACTTCTGGGTTGAAGAATGACAAACTTTGCATAAGTGTTACCTAAATTCTGTACATGCCTGAAATATGACAGTTTTCGATCCATGCAAACTGAGAGTATGTCAACTCGTTAATTATGCTGTTCACATTCCTCGTTGCAAAAGTCTTTCGATGTTTCACAAAACTTTCTAACAATGTTTTGTTTGTTTCCTAATCACAAATCTTTTCATTTGACACGGAGAAAACATGACAGCTATCCAACATGCGAGTGGCAATACCTGAAACACGTGAAACAGCTGTGCGAAATGTAACAGTACAAACATCTGAATAAACGGTTTTGAATAATCACCGTCTCAAATATCTCTGGTATCGCAGCAGAAATTGTCTCATTATAAGCACCATCAATAAAACAACGCATGTAAACATTGTTAAATGTATGTTAATGACTGTACATTCATCATCGCTAATTTTTCTGATTCTTTAGTTAATTCTTCATAAACTCAACAAAGATTGATATATATACACGTACAAACTTCTACATACACTTAAAAATATGCTGCATGTGCATTCTTAGTGGTCGACTCGAGAATATTAGATTTGGCTGGGCGCACATGCTTATTTTTTTTTGTAGAACACCTTTGTGGAACTACATCAACAGTGTTTGAGCGAATCGTTATCCAATGGATATCTAACTGGAAAACGTCGTTTTAGCAATTCTACAAAATACTCATCAACATTTTATGATTATATATGGTTTGTTGAATTAAACATTAGTCAAGGTAAGATAGATTTGGTTACACCGTGTCCGTTTTACAGGCAGGTGTATTTGACATCTACCTGCAAAACCAAGCTTGACTCCGAATGCAAAATTAATCTCTGCCCTCAGCCTCCTGCCCCCCCCCCCAACAAAAAAACAACAAAACAAAACCACCAAAAACTTGGAAGACTGTTGCAGATATTACAACAAGGCACAGCTACGGGTAGTGCTTTCAAAATCTCGACAAAAATATCAGTTTCAAGTTGATAAAGAATTCTTTCGTTTATTATCAAACTTTTACGTGCTTCACAAAAATATCAGCTGTGTTTTAAAGTGTCTCGTGAAGCCAAAAACTAAATCATAGCACCTTGTTATTGTAAGTAGACTAAAAAAACACACACTCCACACTAATGGAATGACCTTAAACTGGTTTAAATTTGCTTAAACCTGGATTAAAACGTACTCTATGTTATTTTTTTGGTTGAAGATTTCACAAAAGTTTGACCATGGTTAAACCATGGTTTAACAACACTAACTTAGTCCAAAATACCATGTCAGCCTTGTTAAAAGCAACGTTGAACCTGAAAGATGCTGAAGACGGAAATTAAACTAAGCTGATCGACCAAACCAGGTTGAATCTTCAGTTCAAAAGGGTTTAGCAAGTTACAACCAAGGTTTGGCCAAGGTTATAAGCTGGCTAACCAGCCAACTTAATAAAAAAAAAAATGAAGAGTAGTAATCTTAACCAGGATTGTCTCACTGATGGTTACTGACATGTTAAAAATGCTACATATGCAAATACAATCATCAAAACTATCTACAATCTAGTCCCCTTCAAAAATCTTTCAAATATCATGTGATCTCTTCAAATCTTTATATCAATTTACAGATTTGTACAAAACAAACTGATTTCAAAAATAGCATCTTGCCGAAACTGGCCCCTAGAAACTCCCATCTATACATCTTAACACTCACAATAAAAAACAATTGGCACCCGTCAACTACATCTTTGTCTGAAAGAGTTTCGCTTTACGGGAACGAGCTAATAACCAACTTCATGAAATACCAACACAAACAGTTTTCCATACTAAAAACTACTATACAATCACCTACACTGCAAACTACGTTACTAAAACTCGAAATTAACTTTGCAAGAGCAGCACTGAATATAGAGAGTTTGCTATTTTGAGGTAGCTGCAGTGTTTTCTTCATTCATCCAATGAAACACAATAAGCCTCTGTAAATGATGACGTCACACTTTGTTTCCACGTGTGCTTCCTTATGGGAGCCAGGTGGGAACGACGGTTTCGTAGCCCAATAGAAAAGCGCGCAAGTAAACAAAATGTGACGTTATCAGTCCAGAGGCTTACTCTCCATCCAACTGAGAATAACAATATCAATACTTCACTTCTTTGACTCTCCTTTTAACAGACTTACCCACCGTGACATATGTGGCCCTTCACCACAAAATGCCCATAAAGGCAGGCTTTTTAATAATTGAGATGTTTTTATTTCTGGAGCCTGCAGAACAAGAGCTTTCTAACGGTATATAACATTTGGGGGTACTGAGCTCAATTACAGAAATATACACTACCAATAAATTGAAGTGGTTAAACTAATTGTTGAGAAAAGGGCGTTTAAAAATCCTACTGTTGAATTACTGTGAACAAACAGCCAACTAATACAACAGGATGAAAATAGGATTTAAAAACAATTGATGGAACAAAAAAAAATGGGAAAAGATAGAACAGGACAGACAGAGGTTCACCTGAAAACAAAAAAATCAACCACCTCATCAAATATTGGCTTTGCCCCACTGTACGTCCTTATACTCATTTCCTGGTGACTGGTTAGATTTGTGAAGCTGCCAACCTTTGAAATTCACCATTATCTTCATTCGACCTTAAAGTGACTTAAGAGAAAACATATCCTTTAAAAACAACGGGCTCATGCTTGCTGACGTAACAATTTTAATACAACATGCATTAATTAGGCTGCATTTGAATCCATGAGAAGATGCAGGGAGCGAGATGGGATCACCAAAGAGTGACAGATGACGTGCTGTTCAGGGACGACCTTCACCCCCGGTTTCTTTTATGAGTAGATGGTGATGACTTCTCTACCGCCTCCTCGCACCATCAGGACCCTCTCTAGGCCCTCCGTCAGCACCTCCAGATACTCCATGTCTGAGAGAGAGTCGGAGTCAAGGAGAAATGCTCTATTCATGACACGCTCTTTGCGTCATTAACCCTCATTCCATTCCTGCGACAGAAACCTTACTCAATCTTCAGCGATCCTCCAATTTTGTACTTTATCTTATAAAGCCACAAAGAATCCTTTCTAATTAGGGCGATTCACAATGCAGTGCGCCACCAAGAGTTTGCCATGGAGAGTTCATTTTTCCCAGTGCATTGTGGGAGATGGTCGACAAATTCGCAGCGCGGAACATTTGAAATTGTTAGTTCTTCCGGTCAGTGGTTTCATAAGCATATGATTCGAGGATCTGTTTGCCCATTTCTTTTCTTGTTATCAATATGGTGTTTTTTTGTAAGGCGGCAGAACACTATGCCCCAATCTATGACATATTGGCTCAAGTTGTCTATCGACACTCATCCAAATGGGCCATGTTTTGTTGACCGTAAACTTGAAAAATGGACTCTCCATGGCAAACTCTTGGTGGCGCACTGCATTGTGAATCGCCCCAATTACCCAGCAGAGTACCTTACGATTAAATGCCTAAAGTCACTGGTACCAATTATCCTGTGAAATGATTCCAACTGAAACTCTAACGTTTGGAAGAAAACTAAAATTGAAGGAAGTTTTTTTTTTTTTAAAGGGGGCTTGCGAGCACTTTTTTAAAAATGCAATGGAATCCAGTTACGAGACCCCAAAAATTCTGCATCTGTTTTCTCTGTTGTCTCAAAATGTACTTTACTACAAAGGTATATCATAAAATCCTCAGAAAAAAAACCAAGTAAATTTATGAAGGGTCTAAGGGAATGATTTTGACCCTAAATTTGGAGGCATTTTATACAGGAACCTTCCCAGATCATGCACTGTGTTGAAATCCAGTGGACTTCAAAAAGGGGAATCAAGATAGATACAAAGTGATAGTGGCTGGACTGTACCATCCTCAATCCTACAAATCCCCCCAAGCTAACCGATGGGAGTTTGTAGGAAATAGAAGGGATAGGGTTAAGAGCCTCCAAAGTACAACATATATTCAAAAACAATCTTCAGTTAACCTGCATATTTATCATTGGACTTCAGCCGGGATGTAAAAGTAAAGTCTGTCACGAGCCAGCGTTTATCTCCGGTTTCAGTAGCATGAAACAACTGAGAATATTTCTACTCCCCCTGGATGGGATGCCAGTCCATCACAGGTTACTCCCCAGCTAGTGCCGGTAACCATTTATACTCCTGGGTGGAGAAGGGCAAGTGGGGATGAGGTGGTTTGCCCAAGGACACAATGTGTGGCCAGCAGCTGGATTCGAACTCCTGGCCCTCTGATCATGAGTCACGAACCCTAACCACTAGACAACACTCCCCTACAGCTGGGATAGAGCACGTTCAATAGTCTTTTGCTATTTCCAGTGGGGTTCCTTGGTACAACAAGAGGAAGGAAATAGAAGAAGAGGAAAGAACAAAGTTTAGAATTGGGAGGAAAACCCGCAAAAATGCCATTTCAGGGTGAACGTTTGGAATAAGGTAGGGACTAAAAAACCCAATCCAAGCGAGACTCTAGGGTCATGAGTGGTAGCAGGCATGCAACTGGAAATTTCGGAAAAAATGAGGAAATTCCAAGCCACACCAGACTTTGTACAGTGTTCTTCAATATGTAATGGCATTCATGAGAAGTAAAAAACGAGGAAATCAGTAGATCCGAGGAAAAGTTGCATGCCTGGTGGAAGGCGAGGAAAGCACTGCTAGCCCAATTCGATCCCCATGAAAAACATTCCAGTATTTTTGACCACAAAAAGGATACAGTATTGTTCTCGGTACTTCTTCTTGGGTGGTCCCGGCAGATTGAGAATGACGAGGTTCGCCTGATGGGATCGGTCCACAATGACTTCGTTCAATCGCACAGCGTTGTTCATTCGCTCCACGTTGCTCACCGAACTGAATATAATTGTTCAGAGAAAAAATATGTTACAATAGTTGAACGATGGCTGTGCCATTAAACCTAGGAGAGGTTGGTTGCACACCTAAGCCAATTTGAAAGAAAACAGATTTTTGGAAAAAAAAATTAATAAAACTACTTGGCAAAAAAAAGGTTACCAGCCAAATATCATGTGTTTTGTATTGCCAGTAGCTGGTTCCCAGATGAATTTTTTTGCTGAGCAAATTCTAAGCAATATGTTGTGTTTATTATCTCCTCGAAAATGGGCTCTGGACACTTTCAGGCCTTAAAGGTCAAGCTGTGGGGGTACTTCAAGTTTTAAAGCAGTACACAAACTTTAAAATTCTGGAGAAATTGTCTAGATTTGTGGCGTATTTTTTGAGATGGTTTGGCTTGACCGGCATGCAACGATTATGTCCAAAACATGAAAATACACCCAAAGCAAGATACAACCCACAGCAAAACAAAGCAGAAATATAAAAGCTTGTTTTAAATTTTGATCGAAGCAAATGTTAAAATTAAAATCAACAACCTGATGATGAACTGGCTTAAAACTTGTCAAAAACTTCCTCAAGTTATAAAAAGAAACATAGACCCAGGATTTGAAGAGTTTTTGTGGATCCTCTCAACTAATTTCTAATTTTAACCAGTCGTACAAACTTTCTAGAAGCCTTGTCAAACAGTGAATAAAACTTCAAAATCAGTTGTTCCGTCCTCTTTGTAATACCCTAACCTTCCCAAATCCTCCAGAATGCTCTTTGCAAAATGGGGGATTTTGCAGGATTGATATATGGGAAAAATGTGTGGCTGATTTTGGAGGATGCACTGTGTCAAGGTCTTGGGCCAGACCTTGTGTTGTTCATGCTCAGCCGTGCATAAATTTAGGCCTAGATTATACTTCTAAATCCTCCGCACTGCTCCAGGATGTCACTGGCTCTGCCTCAACATATTGACAAGTGATTGCAGGAGGATTTTGCAGAATTGAGGCAGTGGTCATCCCTCCAAGGACCACATTCAAGAAATAACTGAAGATTTGAGACTGTATGCAATTTTTACATGGAGGCAATTGGAGGATTTTGCAGGATTGAAGTTGCATCCTAGCAAAAATGCCTATGGAGTTAGGGTTAATAGTATATTTTCCCATTTCAGTCTTAATCTGGGACCAAATGGACCAGGCATAAATGGGTCAATAAATTTAGGTACAAAATGATACATTTTCCCTGCCCCCTTTACCTCAGAACTTTGCCATTCAAGTATCATTCAGAATGACTTCAAAACATTTTTGATTTGTTGGGCAGGTAGTTTGCTATTCATAATCACTTTTGATGGATGAATTCATTAACCCTATCAATCCCCAGCCAGTCAAACTCCAACACCAGGGTTTGTTGGAATCTGTTGGCCTAAGTACTGCTCTAGTAAACTGACTATGCTTTACATGGGGTCAGGCATACCACCATAATCAGAGTCCAACAGTTTGGGTGTAGAGTTTACCATGGTGTTGGAATTTGCAGGCATGAGAAAGGTTCCTAGTTGATCACTCAAGGGGATTAGGGTTTAAGGGGCGAATCCAGACTTAAAAAAGGCGGAAACAGTATGCCCCTTCGGCTTCGCCGCGGGGCATAAAAATCAGACGTCAGATGCAACAGGGACAGGAAAAAGTTGACCCTAAATTTTATCGAATGACCTAAAATGTGTGATTGAAATTTCACAACATGCTGTAAGTGTTCAAAGCAAGGCATGCACTGGCAGAAACAGAAAAATTGAGAAGTTGTGGTCCCAAAACTCACGGATGATTCTGGAAATTCAGCTTGACGTCCGTCATATCCTTGGCCTGCTGCGGCTCAGCCTGGGCCGACTCCTTGTTGTCACCCACGGAGTCTTCGCTGGGCGCCTCGTAGATCAAATCCTCCTCTCCATCGTCGTCGAGGATTCCCGGCGAGTCAAACGGGGAGGAGGAGGGCTCCTCGGATGAGAACGTCACCTTCTTGTCTGAGTTGCTCTTTTTGGGCGCGATGCTGACGTGCGACTCGTCCACTAACGTCTGGGCCTACCGGAGGTTCAAAGATAGAGGAAGAGACTTCAGAGAGAGAGTTCAGTTGGTTTCACTTAGGGTGTGATAATGGCCTTGAGAAGAGACTAATTAGTTCTCTGCATGGTTAAACCTTTACGGCTCAGATATCAAAAACCCCAATTTCAATAAAATCACAAAATTTGAACCAACCGAACAAAACGAGTCACAGATCCCCATAGCTTTTTTTTAATACTACTACTACTACTCAGTCGACCACAGTCGGGCTAATAAATAATAAGCCTTTTGGTTTCAAGCCTTGCACAATGGAAGTCAATAAAAATAGTCAACTTTTACACCAAAATGTCTGCGAATATTAAGATGTCCCAATGAGTGATGTATCAAATTGAAACCAGACTATGCCCTTTCTACTTCGTTTGAAAACAAATTAATGAACAAAATGTCATGAATCATGATTTCAAAGATTTGGTCATGTATTTTAGAATTGTATCCCAACTTCTTCAATTTGTTTATGCTCTCTTTTTGCACACGTCATTTGAAATTCCAAGATTTGCTTGGCAAATTTTAGTAAAAGTTCATACTCGGTGTGAAAACAAAGTGAACACGAATTTGGAAGGAATTTGTGCTGCCAATTCTCAAAAGTCGAACACATTTTGCGAATGTTTCCTTACGTCAAATTTCAGTTGCATTTGCATTATGAACCAGCCTTAAATTTGTGCTTGACAACTCTGTGACATTTTGTATAGAGTTCTGACTTACCACCATGCGACTTTCCTTCTTGCTGAGTTTCATCTGACGCAGCAGCTGGGATCGTTGCTCCATCATCATGGTTCTCTCAAAGGTGTAGGCTGCGATAGTACCCGATGGCTAGAGAAATAGACCAGGAGAATCAAGACATTTAGATCAATGGATGGCCGGAATGCATTTGGGAATCACTCAAACAACCCTAAGGAATTCTAAACGCAACGAAACTCTCTAAGGCATTTTCAAAATTTGTTTCTTCTTCTGGGGTGAATCACCTGAATTTGGCATTGGGAAACGGTAAATTAAAGTCTGAATTTTGCCTTTTTCTGAAATCAAAATTCCATTTTCTTAAAATTGGAAATTACGTTTTCTTCGGGTTTCTTAAAAAATCAAACACCACGATCACACACAACACTTGAAGTTTCGCTCTAGATGTCACCGCATGCAGTATGAACGCACGAGGTAGCCTGTTGGCCGCGGGGCATACAGAAAATCGTGCATAAATACATACACCTACATATATTATCCATGGCATACAATGCAATGTCGTTCTGTGATGCATAATTCATGACGGACGGCTTGCCTGTGCACCAATCCGGGACCACTGTGCAGGCGGTGAGAGCTGAGTAGGTCATTTAGCAGTTGTGATATAATGCGGGCGATGTGACACGAACTCAGCTGGTTCCCAAATACATGTACAAATCCGCGCAGTACTGCCATGTTACCAGTGATGCTGATGGCGCAGCGCGTGTTTGGCCATGCAATCACTTCAGTACCGTTACGATGTGCATATTTGGTAAGAACGAATTGAAAACAACAGTACGAAAACTGTTTATTAGGTTCTTTTTCAACTTTTCATGTATCTTTTTGGCAGTTAATATAGAATTCCATGAATTCCGTGTTGTCCTTAGTTTCCGTGAAATTCCGTCCGTTTTCCGTATCGCAGAGGACTTCAGACTTTACGGCAAATACATGCTAACCAGCACCACATTGGACAAAAGTGATGCTTTACTGTCTTTCTTTAACACTTAACAATTTTGCAATTTGGCTGCTGAGGACATAGTTATTCATGAGGCCCATTCATGGTTGAAAGCACTGCTTGCATTTGAAAGGCAAACCACTTTGTGCACTGTTTCTAGTTGTTGGCTTTAGTTTGAACGGAATAATTTGCTCAGTATCAAGCAGGAGGAGAAAAATATAAGATGAGACATGCTCTTCTGGACCTGCTTGCCAGTCTAGATTTTTTTTTCCCAAAAAAACTGGCTTCAAAATTTTGCTTAAGAAGGGTACATATATGCTGTTATTATTAAAAATGGTTGAGAATGCATGGGGTTACCATCTCTACAACTTCAACTTCAGCCTCAATTCTGAGGTGGTAGAGGAACGTCTTCAGATCCTTGATCATCTTCTCGCTGTTGTCTTCCAACTCTGAACAAAAGGGGCAGTCAAGGTTACAGACCCAAAGTCTTCTTGGCACCCCATCTTCTTGATAGCTCCCCACGCACACAATGAAAAGTCCGAGTGGGGATTCAGACTAATATAGTCTGGTGCCTAATAATGAATGGACCATGCGAACTTGTTCTGGATGAGACATCAAAACCTTTCGGATGCACTCACACACCCACACATCTTTGTAAACACCGATATCAGCTCTCATTGGTTTTGTACACAAATTTCAATTGTGGACTTTCGGTCAATCGTGGACGTATTGTTTGTGCCCTAACCCTTTTGTCCTAGGTCCACGATTGCCGGTGTGTACATACTCACATAAACTTACCCCTCCCCCTAAGAGGTCTCTCAGGCCCCTCCCTCCCATTTTCCCAAGGTTTACCCTCTTCATCCCAAATTGATTCGCAATAATCCTTAAAAACGAGAAAAAATAATGTGTCAGAACACAAAAAAGGATACGTGCGACAGTGAAAATCCTAAGTTGACAGTTTTTCCAGACTTTGTGCTGTCGGAGCAAGAAAGGTAGAAGGACCAACATCCCGCCGTCATCTATAGAGGGCCGCTGTTAAGGAAAATGTGAAGCTCACAAGGACGACAGACAAATATTTATGTAAAAATCATCTGATAGACTGAAAAAGGGCTTGCTGGCTGCAGTCATATGTGACCTGTTCTGTCAAAAGCAGACGCTTCTGGGCAGAGGTTGAAATTGAGATAGGGCCAAAAAATGCTGTGGGGTGATTTTTATCGATTTCAAACTTTTGCATATTTGTAATCCTGAACATGTCTAAAATATATTATAAAAATTTGAAACCCTAATTTGAACTCTACATATACTATTTTTGATGATTTTGATAAGGTATATCAGTTAAAGAAATAACTGTTTTGTGACGTTCGTGGCCATTTTCTCCGTTTTCTACTTTTCGACACAATAAACTTCAAAATAGCATAACTCTGCCCAGGAATGACTGGTTTCAAAAATTAAACCACCTATTAAAAGGAAAAAAGACATATGTTAACAATATGCAAAAATATCATTTTCGACCTTATGCCCAGAAAAGTTTGATTTTGACAGAACAGGTCACATATTACATGTATTTCTTATTTCTCCACATTGATACTTGATCTTGGTATATTGGTCAAAAGTTGTATCCTAATAAAGCAGTCATTCAAAAAGGGTAGAAATTCCATTAGGTTGACACTGACATGTAAACACTGAATTTTTTTTCCTTATGTTAAAGTCGCACAAAGCATTGACTGGAGTGGGGTTTGAGCCTGCAACCTCCGGATTGCCGTTCCGGTGCTCTACCAACTGAGCTATCCAGCTCTTCGTTGCCGGTTCCCCATTTTGTCAATGTCTTTGTTCAAGGGGCGTTAGTCAGAAGTCATAAACCTGCATGCCATGTAGCCAGGGATCACGCCCAAAGTACCATTGCTAGCAACATAAGCAATGCTGCAAACCTGGGAAATAGCAAACAGGGATCTCTCAGATAGGATAGGTTTTTTATTACAATGTTTCAAATAAACGACAAAGGGAAACTTACTAGGTGGATTGTAAATTGTAGTAATTTTAAAGTTGAACAAATAAATTGACTGGAGCATGCTTTTTTTGATAACTTTATTATGCTCACTTTAAATCAATATTCATAAATACCTTAGACAGTTTAGCTATTCCTATTGGTCGAGAGCCCGTCACGTGACCGGTCTTAAACGGATGATAAAGACATGGCTAGCTGGTCTTAAACACTTTTCCAGTGTCACAATAAAATGTGGACTCCTAAAAATCCAGTGCCTCTTACCGTTTTATTGGTTGAACGTTCACAATCCTCACGTAGGCATGCGCAACACTACCAGCGAGTCAGAATTTTATAGTTCTAAATTCAAAATGCAACGCCCCAGGTGCGTTCTGCGCGACATCTCGCAGAACATGCTACGCGCACGTCAATCTCCATAAAAGGTATGTTTACATCTTACTCGCCAGCTGAACACTCCATTATTTTGCTAGAGGGATGTTTCAAAAAGCATGAAGTGAACTTGTTGAACAAAATCGGGATTTTTTGAACGAATTATTTGATTTCTTTTTACCGAAAAGGTATTTATGAATGGGAATGAATATGTGCTCAGTCGGTATTTATCACTCTGTTTAAGACCGCTTAGAGTCTGGGTGCTGAGCGGTCTTAAACAGAGTGATAAAAACCTCCGGAGCTTCATTTATTCCCTTATTTAATCACCTAAAAGGATGGTGTTTTGTTTTCCATTTTAATATTGAAGTTTTTGTATTTTATTTTTTTTACATTTAAATCAAATTTGTATAAGGCAAGGATACGGACAATCCACCACACGTCAATGGTGCCACCCTCAAACTTGTCCTTGTTGCTGGGGTAGTTGCTGATGTTCTTGGGTACTAGTAATGCATTGTGGCTTGCAGAGATGGCCCGCACCGTATCTACACAGACACAAGTCAGAAGTAACAGATTATTCTACAATTCCGGTTCAGTAACTATGGACTCCGTGCACAAGTACCAGGCCTGGGCGAGAAGTGTATTTTCCTACTCGAGTACTCCCACAGTAGTTACTCGGGAGTACAGGGTGAGTAAAAAAAAAACCACCCAAATGTTGGGACCATTGATTTAGTAAAGTTCTGCATGTAGCACTTTTAAAATCTAGGATATGAAAGCCCAATTCATAAACTTTCTTTTAGTACAAGAATCATTCAAATCACTCATGTACTTTTCAAGTCACAGAGTTTTAAACACAACCCCCGTTTTAAGGTTCTGTCCACGGATCACAGAAAAATTCAGTGTTCTTTCAGCAAAACAAAAACAAATCACATAGGGATGTGTGTGAATTGTTTTCGTTTGGCTGAAAGAACGCACACCTTTTTTGTGATCCATGGACAGAACTTTAAAGCGGTGGTTGTGTTAAAAACGCCGTAACTTGAAAAGTACATGAGTGATTTAAATGATTCTTGTACTAAAAGAAAGCTTATAAATTGGGCTTTCATATGCTAGATTTTGAAAGTGGTACATGCAGAACTTCACTAAAACAATGGTCCCGACATTTGGGTTTCGTTTTTTTCTACTCACCCTGTAGTCGAGTACTCGCGTGTAGTTTACTCCATTCCCATAAAAACAGAAAAGATGGCATAAACATTACTAAGGCAAAAAAAAAAAAAGTCTCCGGTTTCTGGTATGGAGCTTGCCCAAAAAGTGGTGCGGCGACGCGGCTTTTTTTTTTTTCCCCCTGACTTTTTTGCTTCAAATGTCGGCTGATGACTGCAAATGGTGCCCGACTAAACTTAGTGCAAAATGTACGAGAGTCCAGAGAGGCCACATAAAGCTTATTCTCGATCATACCCCCATCTAAAAACACGTTAAAATTGTGCTGCAGCAGGATTCCAGTCAAACCAGTGAGTTTGGCGGTTTTGAGACATCATCTTTTATTGAAAAAAAAACTTTTTCATTTTGCCGACGCGCATGGCTACGGCGACGCGCGCACATACCAGAAACCGGAGACTTTTTTTTTTTTGGCCTAAGAAGGAAGTTACTACGAATAAACAGCATGAAAGATGCGCCACATTCTTCAGCACTGAGAGATCCTTAATATTAATTGTGGGCTCATTTAACTTGACAATTTATTTGTTGAGAGAGCTAGTGGAATCCCACGGAAACAGATGGAGTAGTGATTCGTTCATGGCGGGGGACGTATAAAGACAAAAGACAAGTTTGGTGCAGAAACCGCAAAGTGGTTACGTTTTTCTAAGTCAGCATTTGTGATAAAAAAAATTGCTACTCACGAGTACCTACTTATACTCGTGCCAGGACGAGTACTTGAGTAAATGAACCAAGAGTAGAACAGCAGCGAGTAGCAAACACCACTCACGAGTACTTGAGATACTCGGCCAGCACTAACAAGTACCCACCCTTTCACAGGAAGTTTGGTTGTACTTACCAAGGAAGACTTTCCAGGCTTTGTCGTCGACTGACTGTCTCCATCCGTACGGCCAGCCTAGGACCACCGTGTTATGCTTCAGGCCTCCCAAACCACTCATCTGCACGCTGGAACAACAAACACAGCTCTAGGATCATAAAGTATTTCTGAAATGGAGGAACTTTCAAGGAACTGTTGAGCATGAGCATTTGCCAAGTGCTGAAATGTTTTGCTCTACTAGCCAGTATGCCATGGGACGTACACAGGTTGGGACTAGTTTTCAGCTGAACTTGACTCAGGACCTGTATGCAAGTTTTCTACTTGTTGGCTTCATGAAATCGGAAAATGTTCTGACCCAAGTTGCAAAGCGTGTTTTATAATGACAGCTGCATTTATGTTAAAACAGTGACAGCATTTGAACCTTGTATTTTGATGTTAAATGGACACTGGGTCCTGGAACAGCCCAATTGGGCTACAAAACGCGCTTTGAACGAAATGATGTTTATCGGAAAGAACATTTAAAAGTAGGATATAAACATCCACACAACTATCCTTTGAAAACTGGGCTTTTTGTGTTATTCTTGTATTATGTGTGTGAAAACGAATATTGGGGTCCACTGCGACCCCAAAAAGTCGAGCTGTTTGGGTGCTAGTTGTGATTTCATCCGTAAAGTGTTCGGTTTTTGCGGACGTCGAAGAAAATATATTTTGTGCATTGGTGATTGGTCACCGCTGTTCCTGAGACACACAATGTGTATATCGTACAAACAGGGAATGACAGGAAAAACGTATTCGTGCTCTGTCCTGTCCAATGTAAACAACTGGGTGGGTTTTTTTTGTCTTTTCTCGGGAATGGTAAGACATTAGCTTGGTTTCCTTTCAACCAGATGTTTGAAATAGGATAAGTAAACAATCCAAAACATGAAATTTTCGGGGATTTCAGGACCTAGTGCCCCTTTAAATTGCTTTGTACAAATACTAACCCTCCTACTATTTGATCAGTCACAGAGAGTCAGAAATTCAATCCACTTCCCCTCAAATAACATACACATAGCCTAGTCACCAACAGTCAGATCATATTTCATGTCGACACTGTGACTAGTCAAATTCCATCAACAGACAAAAGCAACTAACTGTTCGTCACAGCTCTATCAAGTTACATTAACAGTCACAATGAAACAAGGTTGTATAAATCTGTATCATACCATGCAGCGAGTCCTTCCGTGACATCTTTGGCAACGAGAACCGACGGGAAACCTTTGACCTTTTCCTCATTCATCATGTTACGCAGCTCCTATTGGAACATATGAAAACAGGGGAAAACTTGACAAACACAATCACAGGCAACTGTCGGATCATTTGCTATCCATGCATTTGTTCATTTCCAATAATAACACCAGTCAAAATCTAAGGAAGAATGTTCAAAACCTAATCTGTGGAACTTTCAGCTCAGTGGATATTACACTCGTTTCGTCAAAACACCTCACATATTTTACATTAACTATCACAAAATAAACTTCTGGGGAAATTGGCAAACAAAAATCGAATTAAAAAGAGGGAATGAATTTTTTTCTCCTACTGCATGGAATTACTGGACAAACTTTTGAAATGCATTTTTGGTAGGGTCGCTATTTGTACGTAGGCTTTTGAAAACCAGGCCCCTATCATACCCGTTCAGCAGCCTGACTCTCACTGTATCTGGTCAAGAAATCGCCCTCCAGGATAGATGACACCAAGCTCAAACCACGCCCTGCAGTCAGAAGAAATTGTTATAAATGTGGAAACACAATTCAACGAGAAATGACGTGATGTGTCTGGAATCCATGATGCAGAGTCGTAGCAGCACACGTCAATATTAGCCGCATCTGTATAATGTGGTTACGGCCTACAATCACACACGTCTATGGGCTCCGTGCGCCAACGAAAGAGGGCGCCCTTTTACCTAGCAACGACATCCCATGGGCGGGACATTTAGCTGGTTTGCGCGCCCCGTTCCTTGTGTGTGACGCATGTACACCAGGGGATTTGTATTAAGTACACGCAGTGGTACGGCCGCGCGTCGCGGCAAAACTGCAGTCAGGCAAGATGGTGTCGGTCGGTCACCCCCAACTGTTCCTTCTTTGCCGGCGAGGGGGTACTTGTGAACGGAGCGGATACTGCAGAAGCAGTTGAAGCCACTTCCCACAGACATGTGTGCTTATACCGGCCGAAGTACAGTAATCCAGGCACAGCCTTACTTGAATAAGAAAGTTATTTCTACCAAAAACTTCTGGTGCAATAATTTCACAGGGTACTTGACATTAGTCCTATTTTCACTTTGAGCAACGATTTTGTCAATATAAAATGGTCCATGCGATAAATTTTTCTAAGGAACATATTTTGTTCAACTTTGTACTCCTCATGTATGAAAACTATTTGATATCTCTTTTCGGCTAATTTTTATTGAGAAGCGCACTTCTTCAAACATTTACAATTTTTCATGCTTTTCTGGACAACTGATCGCACTGTTGCTGTGATGTCATTTAGGTGTTTCCTGTTCGAATTTTGAACCCAAAATTTGTTTATTGAAAACACTTGTGGGAAAGGTTTGCTCATCGTTTAACTGCCATGTACGGACACAACAACGAATCGCCACAGAAAAGAAAATGATGACAGCAAATTATCCACAATTCTAACAACTTTTTCCCACGGCGGTGTAAAACACAACTGTGGGCTTGAGCTGCTTATGTTGGTTGGTTGGTGGGTTGTTTGGTTGGTTGGTTGGTGGACACTTTACTCGGCCATATATTGTATTCATATAACTCAAGTATTACAGCTTTGCAAGCATTACAGCTTTGCATTCGAAGACCAGTTTTGCAAACTCTGTTGCGCATGCGTCTAATTTGCATACTTTTTGCATATCAGATCACGCCCCATTCCTTTTTCGTTTTCTGAACTCTCTTGATGTACCGGTACGGCCCGGGTGCATGGACGGTGCCATATAGCCGTCTTCACACGTTACCTCGCTGCTACCTGGCCGCCGTGGGTTGTACTACTTGGTACTTGTTGTGCTGGAATAGTTGTAACATTGAGGTTTCTGCCCGGAATGGCATCACAGTTGTGCTCATGAATATGGACATTGGCATTAGCATAAATTAAAAAGGCACCAACATACCCTTGAAACTAGCAAAACGAAAATTGAAAATAAGGTTAAATGGGATACCAAGGTGCATTTTCAAGGACTGCATTAAAGGGAATGTACATCATTGGCTTTTGCTGTAATTTCCAGAAATGAATTATTTTGAGGGGTTAGTATAACAGATCAAATATTGTTACACTGACATGTTTGAAGTTTTGTGTTCAAAAAACCTGGAAAAACCCCCAAAAAAAAAAAAAGTTCAAGTAGTCTGGTTCCCTGACTTCACTAAAGATGAAATGCACCAATTTATAGATGCCGGAAAATTGTAAGGTAATGGAACCAGTCTAGCTGGCCTGCACCCGTTCATGAACATGTAACCAATAGCAAACAAAATTTGGACTGAAAAAAAATTGGTAAATTTGGAGCAGTAGTTAAAAAATAGTTAGGTTTTTCCACCGTTGGAAATTTATACAAAATACCACTTTTCTTGAAAATGACTTCACACATGGTGCCATAATTTTACAGGATGCTTTAGACTCTCATTTACCAACATCCTAGTAAGGTATTTTGTAAAAAATTGGTAGGTTTGTTTTTGATGTTTGCAAATGTTGTATATTCCCTTTAAAAAAATTACATCGCATGGCCCCTTTAAAATTGGTAGGTACTGTTCTGGGTAATGGCAAATGATCCTAAGTGCCTTTAAAATAGAAAAGTTACCTGCTTTGAGTTGACTAGCGAATGTCAGAATTCGTCTGTACTTGGGTACGAGATCCTCATTCAGCTTGCACAGGACCAGAATCTGCGGTCTATATCAGACAAAAATCAAGACGAGTGCATAGCGAGTGCAATATATTCCTGCATCCTCAAAAAAAAAAAGCCATCCAATATTGTTGTTATTATTTATATCAGGCTGACTTGATCCACAAGAAATATATTTCAGGGCACTGTCTTTATTTCTCAAATTTTGTCGAATATTCTTCGCTGACCGAGGCAAATTTCGTTTCGCTCAAAGCTGCCATAGTGGTTGTTGACAAGAATGCGTTTATACCCAGTTGAGCGCTGCGTCCACGTGTGGGCGCGACGGTACCGCGCGCTATGCTCTTTTGACAGGTTGACAACTGTGAATTTCAGCAAAATTTGTTTAAATGCCCGGATGGAGACAATATAAAAAAAAGTTGTATTGAAATCATCCGGGTACGTTTACTGGCATAATTTTGCATTCATCCAGGTATTTTTTACGAAAGCATACAATATACTGATTTATAGTTACCACTAGAAGCTTGATATAAATAATAATTTCAGTAATGGGAGATTCTTTGCGTACATTTAAGTAGAGTATGACATTTGGTTCATATCTGATGTACATGTAATAGTAAAAAACTACTTTTGGCTAATGCAGACTTAGTTAATACATGGCCCCATCAAACCCAATGAAAAGTCAGGTAGCTGTGTGGCCACTCAGACTGCCATTATTTCTAGCCATACCTCCAGTTCTTGGTGTGCGGCGGCCGGTCCTCAAGTCTCATCAAGCTGTAGCGGGCTGCCGTCAGCGACAAACCACTCAGACCGTCACCCCATTCCTTCTCAGCTCTGCACAGCATTGAAAAAACAAAGGCATTGATACAAACGAAAGGCAAGAATGACTAAAAAGCATGATGTACTCATTAACAAACATGATGTACTCCAATAGTGATGGTGTTCGACCCATGTGCCATGATATGTGGGTCTGAACCTGGACGGAAAACATGGTACTTGTGTTCTTGGGCAAGACACTTTACTACATTTGCCTCTCACCACCCAAGAGTATATATGGGTACCGAGACCAGATTGGGAAAGAATGCAGCATCCAGACGTTACTTCTTGGCGAGAGAGTCGAGTGCATTTGCAAAGTATTTTTTAACAAAATTCGGAATGTTTCTCAGTTCCAGATTCATGTCTTTTCAACATTTTTACAATGACTGACAATTGTTGAGATAATAATGTGATGAAAAAAGTGGCGTCATGATGCAACATTCTTTGCCCAGACTGCGCTGTGTTACAACTGATAATGTAGTAACCAACATATAATGTATCACCAACCTATAATGTCACACAAATTGACCAATATTGTATCACAAACCGGTAATGTAACAGAAATTGACTGATGGTGCAGTCAATGTTACTACACTATCGGTCAAGTTTTGTTACATTATACGTTAAGACCAATAATGTAACAAAAATGTCCTTTACTTCACTATCGGTCAATTTGTGTGACACTATTGGTTAGTGATACAAAATCGGTCAATTTGTGTGACATTATCCGTCGGTAACTACATTATCAGTTGTAACATGCTGACCTCAAGCTGCTGCAGAAAATGGCCTAACGAACAAGGGTAATAATTAGGGCTTTGTATCCTTTGGCAATGGCGCTTTATAAATACCATCCAAATTGAGACTCAAAATGAAATCCTTAATTTCCATTGTTTCAGATGAAACGGACTCCTGATGTTTATACACAGCTACACTGACCCAATGATAAAAGTTTGTGTATTAACGCCAGGAAATCCGGATTAGTGGACTACATTACCCCCCAGCTAAACTCAAATACACACCACTGCATTAACTGTATGAGTCTCGCGGTTGTTTAAATATAACGTCACATGACGCAAAACTAACATCGCCTACAAAACGCACTGTCCGGCCTCCTTACCCCTGGTACTCGATGTACTTGTAGATGCAGAATGCTAGGGCTATGGCGCCCAGCGCATAGTACCAGCTGGAGATGAACATGAGAGCCAGACACATGATCACTCCTAGGAAGGACAAGCTCCAATGGTAATATCTTCATGATAAAAAAAAAAAGAGAAACCATCGATATGAAATTTGTTTTTTCCTTTAAAATATCAATTCAATGAGAATCTACTCAATCACTGTGCAGTTGATTTTTAAACATGTGACCTATCCATGAAATGAGCATTTAGAAAATGTCCACAAGCGTAGTTGCTTGGGAATATGACGCACCGTTAGTGCTGAGGCCTTACCATTAAACCAACAGGTAATTTAATTCACAATTCAGAGGAAAATGCTGAGGATAAAAATTCAAAACTTTTGAGTTGGCAGTGCGACTTCAAAAACTCTTTTCATTGTGGGTATCACTATATACTCATTTCAAAAGAACATGTGTTACAAAAAACGTAAAGGTGAAGTTTAACAAGATTAGAGGGGGGAAACCCCACTTAAAAACGATGGATAAAAGTATAAAGGCCCTCCAAGAAAGTCAGCAAAGAAATGGAATTATCAAACACATGTACAATCAGGTTTTATACAACCAGGCCTTGGCATTATACACAAAAACAATTTGTTTTGGAAGTCTGAAAGTTGAAGGTTTTTAAAAATTAATTTACTGGAATCTCGGTCTCCAGTTGGGCGTCTTCAGGAGGGTCTGAAGGGCGCAGGCCAGATTCACAAACATGTAGCACATCAAGAAAAACCTGTGACGTAAAAAAAAGAAATCTCAATAATGTGAGGTCCACCATGAAGAGACAAATGGGCAATTCCACATTAATGAACCAATTAGATAAGTTTATGGATGTTGCATATAAAGGGTAAAAAATAAGCTAGTATTTTCTTCAGTTTTTTCCTACACCTTGCTAAGTTGAAAGTGACTAGGAAAATACAAGAGATGATATCTTTTTTATTTGAGAAAATAACAGGCATCTTTTCTGCGTGATACGTATGTAACGTGGACAGACACACTGCAAGGAAAAGGGTGCTTAGGACAAATTCAGTTTCTAATAGGCACTTCCAGTGACATTATTAAGCCATTTTACATTGTTATCAAACAAAAATATAACAGCTTTCACACTGGCGTCGAATTTATGATGTATGTAGGGTTACATACAAACAGGGACAGACATTTTGTGACAAATGTCCAGTCTGTTCGTACATATATATCCTGATTATAAAATATCAAATAATTCTTCACACTGACTCTGAGTTTTCTAGGTTTTGACTGATAAGCATTCCTCTAGGGTACATCTTAAATAAGTCAATATTAGGGGATCATTAAATTTTATGCTTACTTTGTGACTTTATCTAAAATGTCTGTCCTTCGTAACACTTTTTAATACAACATCCACTATATTTTCTAAAATACAAAACCAGTTATATAATTTGCTGGTGAGGATATGTGTTTCAAGCTTGCAATGTTTACAGCAAAAATTGAGAGACCAAGATCCTAGTTTTATCATCAAAACCTAAAGGTCTTCTCAAATGTCACACTTTTGGGCCCATTAGTGTGGAATTGCCCACATTCGAGAGTTTGCAGAAACATGAAGTAATGGATTGTCTATGGAATTTTTCTGATCACAATGCATCTGTCTGTGATGTGACCGACAAATTTACTGTCAACAAATATTGCAGTAGGACAGAAGAATATGTTTTTGTTGATCCATTAAAGGGCATTATCATTTCCCTGTCTTGAGCGTTTTTTTGAGCAACCAGCAGCTCAAGCCGTTGAAAAACAAAGGGCACTTGCTACAGGCCGAATTGAGTAAAGTGGTGTTCCCTAAAGTGGCGCACTTCGACGTTTCCCCCGACTTTTCTCATGCTACCTAACCGTGCAGTGTTGCCAAACTTCGTTGTTGACAAACTTCAAATTCATTCAGTTATTAAAACAGTAGTACTTTTACCTTAATTAATAATGCTTGCACATGGGTCGGTGAGAGCCATATATATATATGGGTCCCCAAGCCCTTTTAGACTTAAATCTTACATGGTGATGATTGGGGCCACGCTATCCAAACTAGCAATGATGATTCCGATCTCCGAGATGCCGGCTGTAAGCAAGAGAGCCCAGGTCGGCTCCCCGGTCTTCGAGCCTCGGCCGAACACGGCCAGGAACGGGATGATGTTGTCCTTGGCTATGGCCTGCAAGAGCCGAGGTGCCCCCGTCAGGCTCTGTAGCCCCGCCCCTACGGTGGACAGGAAGGCACCTATCAGCACCACCCATTTGGATGGGAAGCAGATGGCCGCCGCCACCAAATCCCCACCTACGCTTTCACCATATCTGTAAAATGGGAACAAATTACATCATATTATATTTATTGCCATTATTTTATAAATGGAAATGATATGATATCCATATAAGGAGACGTTAACCCTAACTCCCTTGGCCTTTTTGCTAGGATGTAGCCTCAATCCTGCAAAATGCTCCACTTGGCCTCATGGAAAAATAGCATATAGCCTCAATCCTGCAAATTCCTCCGTTGTTTCTTGAATATGGTCCATGGAGGGGTGACCACTGCCTGAATCCTGCAAAATCCTCCGGCTATGACTGTCAATATGCTGAGGCAGAGGCAGTGACATCCTGGAGCAGTGCGGAGGATGTCAAGTATAATCAAGGACTAAATTTATGCACGGCTGAGCATAAACAACACAAGGTCCGGCCTAAGACCTTGACACAGTGCGTACTCCGAAATCAGCAACGCACATTGGCCATGTAACCTCAATCCTGCAAATTCCTCCAATTTGCAAAAAGGATTTTGGAGGATTCAGGGCGGTTAGGGTTAAAGACACTGCATGCTCTGTGCACACTGTAGAAATAGTAGAAATTGCTGGAATTCTTTCGAGGAGTGTCGTGGTTCAATGGTTTCCGTATTTAACTCATGCGCCATGGTTCGGCGGTTTTCAACCCTGAAGGGGATCATGGGGATCATCTTGGGCAGGATGCTTTGCTACAATTACCTCTCTCCACCCATGAGTATGAATGAATGAATGAATACCCATGAGAATCCAGGCCAGACCGAAAATAGTCTCATGGCCTGATGATCAGGGGTAATAACTGTGAAACACTTTGAGTCCCGTGGGTAGAAAGCACTTTATAAGCACCATACATTATTATTGTTGATGTCAATTCTACCAACAGAAAAAGAAATAAATAAAATGGAATTTATGTTAAAACTAAGACAAATGACGTACTTGTCTCTGAGAACCTCTCCCTTGACAGTTCCAGCAAAGAATAGAACCGAGGTCAGATCTGAAGAAATTGGTCAAGAAAACATAGATTCTGCTAAAAAACAATTGATGGCGAAAAACACATGAATTGGTATGACTTTTTTCTGTAATCTTCAATACATGTATCTTGCATTTGCACTATTTCTAAAATTGCCGGCTTTAAACACATACTTAAGAGACATTTTCAACAAGTATATTTCCCCAAATAGCTACGTAAATTTGTGTATAAAACATCTTAAAAGTACTATCAATATTTTTGAATTTGGGGAATCACTGCAACAGCACTGACAACAAAACAAAAATTATTACAAAATATGTAAGGATACAGATGATGCTGGTGGTAAGTATGGCGCCAATGGTTCCCCTTGGTATAGAAAACTGGGCATCCTTCAGGTCACCAGACCTATTGCTGCCGGCCATGATACCTGAAAAGGTCAAAGGTCATATGAAAAATACTCTTTTTAAAAACTGAAAAATGAAAAGACAGTAATATGGAATTATATATTTCAAATTTTTTTATTAAAATAATCAAAGGTAGCATCTATCATTTGTAATTTGTGTATTATGTTCGTTTGAAGCAACAAAAGTGCTCAAAATCTAAAGAAGGGTGCTAACAACTAACCCGATGAAATTTCATCTCAGTGAATGCTGTATATTCCGAGAAAACAATATTCTAGGATCTCGACTTCAAATCAAAAGTTGCTGAATCACACATTCTCAATGAGCTGATTGCCCCTACGCAATGTTGCGCACTGAACCGACGAAATATAGCGACCATGCGCGTGTGTGCGTCGTGTCAACACTTGCGCGTGCTTCGTTGAATAAAAAAAACGAACTACTAACTGAAATTTCCAACGATGCGTCTTTAGACGCATTGTTGAAAAGGCCTTCTTTCATTGATTTTTGTCAAAATGACAGCTTGCCAGAAAGAATGATTTCACAGGGAGTTTAGTCCCCTTACTATCTTTAAACCAATTATGCTTTTCAACAATAATTATGTCAGTTACTTTTTGGATAGCTGCAAATGATGGACTGTACAACAAAGAAATTAGCTGAAGCGGGGATATTCAAACTTGCTCAGGTCAATTTCATTGTTCAATTTCCATAACTATATATATATATAATTAAAACTCCTAAGCATCTGTCTCATATTACTTTGACCACATTAAATAGTAAATGTCAACAATGTAAATCACAATACAGCTGCTAAACGCAGAATTCTGCTTAACAGCACAGAAAATATTTGCTTAATAGCAAAAACAGGTTACCAGGCCCAAATCTCATGTCATGTTATTGCTGTTGACTGGTACTCTGCCAATAAGCAGTATATTTTGCTTAGCACCTCTGAGATATTAGTCCCTGATCTGACGTTAACAGGACTCAACAACAACGCTCCTGTTACTTTGAAACAATTAAATCGTAAGAGAAAAACAAATTTTAAAAAGTCTCACCAGTGACAGACGGGAAGAAGATAGCCAGTAGAATGTAGAAGCTTGTGGTGATATCGGCTACCACTTGATTGTTGGTTCCCTTCTCTCTGGGTAACACGTCCCCTGCCTCGCGGTACAGATTAAACGTGTTGCCTACGATGAAGAACAAGAAATAAGGAGAAGAATATAGCAACAAATGTTTTCCATCAAAAATCCTGCACTTGTTGGTGTTCTTGGCCATCGCTGAAATCTGGGTTTGCCTCCAGCTTTGGCTTCGGGCTCCATCCAAATTACTTGGCTACGGCTCGCAATTACACATGCTCTTATGGGAGCAGCAGAAGCCACAGCCACGTTAACTTGGAAGCAGCTTAGCCTGCACTATAGAGCCAGACGGAACAGGATAAGAATCCCATCCAAATCTACAAGTTCTGAAAAAATTCTGATCTCTGAAACAGAGTGAGGAAGTAAACGTTTTGTTCAATCGCTAAGATAAAGATTTACAGTAGCACCATGTGACAAATCTCTTTAGTGAGTTTGTGAGATTCTGAAAAGAACTGAGGAGAACTCAACAGGTGAGACAGTATGCTCTGCCCTTTGTATCGGAAACGTTGAGTTTCCCCCCCCCCCCCCGGTTCTTTCCAGAACCTGACAAACTCACAAAAGAGATTTGTCACATGGTGCTACCTTAAACCTTGATCTTATTGCTACTTTTAACATGCAAACCTTCCAATGTTAGTTTAAATCACACTTTCGCCAATATTGTACTATAACATTGGTTTTTTTTGTTTTAATTTTCTTGGTTTTGGCGCCCTCTATCTGTTGCGCACAAGATGTATTGTCTCACCTGTATTGCTGTGATTTAATCACAATTTGGCCAATTATTGTATTGTAATTATAGTCGTTTTCAATATTATTTTGCCCTTCATCAACGTACATAACACTGTATACTCACTGTGTTGCCAATGAGTGAAAGATTTGCAGAAATACCATGCGGGAATAATGTCTGAACTAAGAGAATGGTTCTGAAAAGAACCAGAGGTGTAAACTCGACGTTCCGGTCATTATGCTCTGACCGTCTTCAGTGTGTTACCCCCGAAGTGAAAGTGAAAAAAATCACTTGACCCATGACCTCCTGTTTTTTAAGTGCAAACGTCTAACCAGTCGACCACCGACCTTGCCTGGATCGGCTGGCTGGTTCTAATCTGATGAAGCAGCGGGTACCGCAATGAAACTATTCATAAGATGGAATTTGCATAGGGCTAATGTAAATTCCATGTTACTTTTTGCCCTCTGTTGGTTGCACACAGAATCCACTGACTCAATTAATAGCTGTTCCGTTGCACACAAAATCAATTGTTCCACTTGAATCGTTGTGATTTAAATCAAAATTTGGCTAAATATCATGGTCGTTTTAATTCTCTTGGATGTTTTGGCGCCCTCTGTTGGTTGCGCACAGGACCCAGTGACTCACGTGATATCTGTCCCGTTCCGAGCCCAGGAATCCCGTTCTTCCACTGGACGCTGTTCTCCTTGAAGAACTCTTGACAGATCTCGGTGTTGTTCGGGCAGTACATCTCCCCGAGCTCCGTCAGAGTGCCGTTCTCAAAGAAGGCGCAGTTGCTGTCACTGCTGCTGTCAAACTGGAGGGCTATGTCGTCGTTCATGTCGCAGAACCTGGGAAGGTGGACGGAGTGAAAGAGGAACAATAGTTTTTAACTCTTTGGGTATGGCGAGCCTCAATTCATTTAGAACTTTTTTCCCCTAACAAATTTTCCATTTGTATGTTTTGTTTTAAAGGGGACAAAACTCTTTCCCGCCAAGTTTTGCTGTCTGCTACCCTCTGAAAAGGGGCTTCCAATTTGTGCACAAATGAACAAGTAAAGTCACAAGTAACAACGGAAATGGAATTCCTCGGTCACGGTTTGTTTTAATAGCTTGTGACAGACTTCAATCTGGATGACTTGTGAAATGTGAAAACTTGGTGCAGTTTTGGAGGATTTCAGAGGATCGAGGATGGATGCAACATACAATTTTGGAGGATTGTGGAGGATTGAGGAAAAGTGCACATTCGGTACCTGTTGATTTTGGAGGATTGATGATGAATGGTGTTTGAAGAGAAGGATTTTTTTGGTGAATGCATTTTGAGAGGCAGGACTGTCTGACGCTTTTGAAGGATTGAGGTGCTGGGCATCCTTCATTTGAACATAAGTGCAAAATTCTGGAGGATTTTGGAGGATTGTGGATGGTTGCTAGCAAAAAGGGCATCGGGGTTAGGCCTGGTTTATTCTTCAAGCTAATTCCAGTGTAAAGTGAATTTGTTTGGGTTACGGCACAATGAAACTTCAAGTGTTTAAGTCATGAAATTGGCATTTCACTTTCACGTGAAGTTAGAATCAGCACTTTCAAAACTTGGTGGATTATTTCTTCAGATATAGAGCATTTTAAATCAAAAATACAACAAAATCAACAAAGAGCCTACTGCCGGACTGGAATTTTTTCAACTGTGATAAAATAAGAGAAATGCACTCACTTGAGCTCGTGGGGAGTGAAGTAGCCGACGTACATGCTGAGAATGGTCAACAGCACGCACATGAGAAAGAGGAAGGCGCACTTGTTGACGTACTTAACACCCACGAACACAAGCAGGGATAGGACTAGCAGGATACCGGTCCCGTACACCCGCATGTTGTTCAGCATGGCCGAGCTTTGGCTGGCGCCCAGCTCTGTGATGTCGCCGAAGAGCGATATAACCGGGGCGATGTAGATCTGAAAGTGAAGCAAATGATGACCATGATTAGTTGGATTAACTGGTAGGAGAATTGTGGTACACAGCAAGTTTAAATAACCTGCTTGAAGCACAACTTCTGAGACAACAATCCTGGGATTTTCCAACACCAAATTCATTTAATAATCAACAAATTTTTTAAAAACTACTTTACTCTGAAAAGGAGCTTTCATTTTGTGCACAAATGAACCCGCCAAGCAAGAGTCGAAATATAGTCTAGCAGCTAATAATTCAATTTTTGTGAAGAAATTATTCAATTACTAAATGTTGGTGGATTTTTTCATCAAATGTCTCATTCAAAAGAGAAAAACTTTAATATTGCTAGGAAAATAGCCATTGAAAAAGGCATCTATTTTTTGAGGTCAACTTCTAAAATAGCATGGGGAACACATTGTAAAAGAGGCTTAAAACAAATGGAAAGATTTCCATATACGAAGTTCACTCAACACCCTGAGTACAAACCCTATGAGATTGGACTGAAAAATTCTAAGTGTTTTCTAAGAAAATGCTTGTATTTTCTCACTGCTCAAATTGACTTTGATGACATGAAATTGCTATCTGGGGGCTTGTTAGTCAATACAGAGGAAAATTAGTGAACTTCGTATATGGAAATCTTTCCAAACAAATATCTGCAAATTCTTAAGAAATCCCGAAACATCAAAACGGGTTTACAGTCATGATATACACAGGGGTGAACCTAAAAGCGGGTATAGGGGTGTTTCAACCCCCCCCCCCCCCCACCAGATTTTTATTTCTTCAGAAAAATCATTTTATTTGTCAGCAAAATTTTGATTGTTGGCATATGTGCCACCAAGAATAGCACCACCTATTGTCCGATAGTGTTCAGTCATGTCCCCCTTTGAACAGTGTCCCAACGGTCAGATGGTATCCAGCTCCCCCCCCCCCTTTCAATTTTGTAGTAGCTGGATGACCTGGGAAACATTGGAATAGTCAGTCACCAGGTTTGTTTTAACCCAAAACCCATTTCAAATTGGACTGGCCACGCCCATGGATGTACACTTACCAGAAGGATTTCAATAGCACCAAGGATGTACATGGCCGAGGCAAAGGTCGTCCCTAGGTAGAACAGGATGCCTACTGCCCCGCCCCACTCCGGCCCAAGGGCTCTGGAGATCATGAAGTAGGCCCCGCCTCCTGGAACCACCCCATTGGTTGCGATAGCGCTCATGGAGATGGCAGTCAGTAAGGTCTAGAACAAAATGCATAGCAAAAGAAGGTTGTACAAGATTGTTCCACATTTTGAAAACAATTTTCAAACAATGTTGTTTTACGAAAAAAATGTAAGGAAGACTTACTGTGCAGCAGGATATGAGGACAATGAAGAAACTCTCTAGGGCCCCGGCAGTGCCCACGATCCAAGACAGACGAATGAAGAGAATGACGCCCAAGATGTTCTGCAGACAGGGTAGGTATACACCCATCAGGGTACCCATCTGGGCTCCTTTCTGTAAAAGTAAACAAGAATCATTAGACAGATGCTGGATGCATGCATACACCCGTTAGGGTACCCATCTGGGCCCTTCTATGCATTGTAAATTGGAGTGGGTACTGTACTTGCGCCCATCAGGGTATCCATCTGGGCTCCTTTCTGTAAAAGTAAACAAGTATCATTATAGACAGATACTGGATGCATGTATACGCCCATCAGGGTAGCCACCTGGGCCCTTCAATGCAATATATCAATAATAGTGGGTGCATACGCCCATCAGGGTACCCACCTGGGCCCCTTTCTGTTATAATCATCAGACAGTGGGTACAGGTACATCCCCATCAGTTTACCCATTTGGGCCTTTTTCTGCGATCTAAACAAGAGTGGGTTCATGTATATACCCATCAGGATACCCATCTAGGCTCCTTTCTGCACTGTAAATAATAATCATTAAACGAAGCGGGTGCATGTATACGCCCATCTGGGTTTCTTTCTCTAATGTAAATAACAGTTATCATGAGATGGAGCGGGTGCATGTACGCCCATCAGTGTGCCCATCTGGGCTCCTTTCTGTCAAATAGGCCTACATGATAATAATCATAAGAAACAAATACATTTCATCTACACTTGCAAAAACAAAGAGAGTGGGTGTGTTCTGAGGTGCTTTGCATTCGCACTGGACTGATCCAGTAAGCTCCGCCCACTGCGCACTGGGCAAATTAACACGTGCTCCTCTCCAATGCCACGCTGCATATTCCTTCCGCGCGCATCATACCCGCGTGCACGCATGTCGGACTTTAGTGCACGCACGTCGGACATAAACCACGGCTGTGATTGGTCAGAACACCATGGGGCGGTGCTTACTGGATCGGTCCCTTCACAGTATACCGGTACATGCAGGCTGAATGGGTTGCTTTACAGTGGCAATGGTGCCCAGTGCCCTACATTCACAGTGCAGCAATTTGCAATTTTAACCACTGCACAGGGTCAGTTTACCAGTTCCAACTTACCACGGTGGGTCGGTCCGATTTCCTATCTCCTGGCATCTCCGTGTGCTCTGGTAGGGACTTGTAGTTGGCCAGGGTGTTAAGGAGAGATGCAATCTTGGGCCTGTTCTCAATCTCCTCCTGCAAACAACAACAAGAGGTAAGGCACGTACCGTTGTACATTGTCATGCAGGCTCCTCATGCAATACATGTAGATAGTAAGGCCTCTCTTGAATTACTTGGCTACGGCATGCAGCTTGACATGTAATGTACCACGGAAGGGGCTAAGCTGTTTCCCATAGACACATGTCTTACTGCTAGCCACAGCCAAAGAATTCAGCTTACCGGGGGAATCCAAACTTTTCTTCTTAGCATCAGCTATATATAAATGTGACTGTATCTGAGGAGCCCACTTCCCCCCCCCCCCCAAACCCATCATTCCGAATCCATCAATACCTATGTGCATAATGTGTGCACCGGTGAACCAAAAAAGCATTTAGAATACCCCTACAGTGCAACATTTGTTCGGACAAACACGGCAAATGGTCGGTGAAGCGTTTGATGTCCGACCTTCATCTCATCCTGTAATTGGAGTGTTTCACATACAAGACAGAGTTTTTGCTTCAGAAAGGCAACTTTCTATATTGACAGTCAACCTTCTTCTACTACTACCCTGCAGTCAATCATCCATGCATCATTGATAACTGCGATACCACAACCCCCCCCCAAAAAGATTTTGAAGCCCCATAATCAAAGTCATTCTTATTCATACCAAAAATGTCAACTAGAGTCACAAAGTCACACGTTCCCCCCCCCCCCCCACAAAAAAAAAAAATGCCTTGCCCTTTGTTCAAAAGAAATATTGTGTTGTGCATTTGTTGCAGAGTTGTAATGACTCGAGTCAACGACTCGACTTGAGTCCGACTCGAGTCACAATTTTTGGTGACTTGACTCAACTCGAGTCCCTAAGGGTAAATGACTCGACTCGACTCGAGTCACTGCGAGCAAATGACTCGACTCGACTCGAGTCCCTCATCAAAAGACTCGACGTGACTTGAGCGAAGGCTAATAAGGCTCGAGTCCCAAAAATAAAAGCACAACTTTGCGAAAAGTATTTGCAATGACTTACGGTGCAAACTTTATGCTCACTTCGCTTTGCGAATAGCAGTCATGTATAAATATACAACGTGTCACAGACTCCCACCTCATGGTTCTAGAACGCACAAAATACTATCCAGGAATCAGATTTTTAAACACATTTTCTAATTCGCTGTTTCATCATTGGCTTTAGGCGATTTCTTATAAAGCTCCTGGATTCGAACGCTGGCTAAACTTATGGCCTCCTTTTATAAATGTTGGTATATAGTATTCAAATATTCGTGACTCGAATTGACTTGAGCTAAATATTTGACTCGACTCGACTCGACTCGACCTTTGGACCTAATGACTCGACTCGAGTCACTTCTTTAAAATGACTCGACTCGACTCGAGTCACAGAAATCAGTGACTTGTTACAACTCTGATTTTGTTGACTGTTTTCCCGTAACACATTGACAGTGAATACAGTATTGTGGTTTGCTCCTATTCATAGTCTTCTGATCAAGGGGTAGTAGTGACACCAATCAACGCCATCTCACCTCGTACAGAGCCAAGTCTTGAAGCCCCTTCTCCTGGTCCATGAACGGTGACATTTCTGCTTTGCTGCCATCACCTTGAAAAAAAAAAGTTAGGGGAAAAAATAAGGGTAAGCGTTTCTACAATTATTATGGTAGTACAGTTATAAGGCCACGTCATTTAAGGCCACGCCAAAATTTGTTGTTCATTGCTTAAGTTTTGACAGAGATGAGATGTACCTCTTTGAATAAACTGTTTTGGGCATAGCTTCGATTGTCAACATTACATCTGTCATAATGTAGGTCAGAAATTTGGTCTTCTGAACCAAGTTGTTTTGTGGCCAATCTGCAAAGCACCACTTGCCATTAGAAGGTTGTTTATTTGAAAAGCAAGTAGGGAACGCATCTTTCCTAGAACTGCTATTTTGAATTTTTTTGAATTACCAAACCATTAGAAGTGTCTCAAAATAAGGAGTTACAGTGACCACAATTACCAGTACTGTAGTTGCATTAACTGAGGTGGTAGCATGCCGACATGTCAAATGCATGATCTCAAATTTGAGGCACCAGTGCATTTTGGCAGGTTGTGAACACTCTAATGGTTGAGGGAGCACTGATATTGCCTGTACATGTATAGGACCTCAGTGTTGGCTTCTTATAGACCAGTTAAGGCCCTGTCACACTGTCTGCGATCTTATATGCGCTCTCACTGCGTCCTTGAAAAATAGCTGAGGCGCAACAACAACTACTAGATCGCAGGGACAACTACATGGGTCGCCAGATGGGTGCCAGAGGGTCTTAATGGTCTCCGATGAGCGCAAAGGTCTTTGAACATGCTCAAAACAATCGCAACACCTCTGCGCTCTGGCCAGGGCGCTGTAATGACGCAACTCGGGCGCTGTGCGAGCGTGAATCGTGCGACATTGAAATTTCATTGAGGCAGCTTAGGCGCAAGGCAGTCGACGTAGTCTTCATGACAAAGTAACTCGACTGCGATGAACTTGTAGAATAATTTTTTGAAACTGGACTTTGTATTGACCGTTTTGTCGTGGTATTTATAAAGTGCAAGTGACGTCACATAAGCGTATTTTGGTCGAATAGAGAGCGCGACGCATGCTACTAGGACGTATCAACAGCGAGCAGAGCGTAGTGTGGGCGCAGTGACAGCACAGCGGCAGCGACTAGATCGAGTAATTGGGCTTGACAGGGGCGCATAGAGAGCGAGTTGAACGCATCGTAAGTATGAGCGTAAGTTTTATTGCGTCCTCGCTGCAATTGTTAAATTTATGGAGAAAAAAAATGGTCGCCGTAAGGTCTCCTATGAGAGCGCATATAATGTGACAGGCCCTTTACATTCAGAGGCCATGTTTGAGGTGTGTTTTGTTATAATTTAGTAACAATGAACGCACAAGAGGTCTACTCATGCGTTTTCCTGTTGAACGAAAGCGCACACCTCCAAGATGGCTGCCGTGCAAGCCATCTATCTGTAGTCACAGTATTATTCAATAGATGTAGGCAAAAACAACACTATGTGCATTGCATAGTGACAAAGTGTTAGGTTTAGTCACAGTCACTAGGACAATTCACAGACGAAAAACACCAGTTTATTTCTACCACTGTTGAGATGAGAAAAAGGAGCATCAATTAGTAATTACACACATACACACTACTGTTAAAACTAGCCATCTGAAAAGAAAGGAGAGTTAAGAAGAAGAAGTTAAGGATAAATAGAAAATAATAAAAGCAGTTCTGTGGTACAGAGTCAGAAAGCAAATTCACATAAAAAAGCATACCAACAAAACAAACAAAAAAATATCCATACAATGTCAGATCTGGCATACATTTCAGTGCACAAAGTAAGTACAGGTGATTTGGTAGACTAGAACCCTTCATAATTTAAAATTTGAAGATAAACGTGACAATTTTTTTCAGGATCAAATATTCTTTTACTTAAGTTGGACGTTGAAACATACAAACATGACAAATGCCTAGCACATGAAGCTAATCCCTCTTTAAAAAAAAACACCACAATGTACATCTACGAAGCCACCAAAATGAAGTCTATTTTTTACTTAGTAAAACAGTTTGGTAAGAGTGTTGTTCTGTAATTTATTGAAATTAATTCTTTGTTCTTCTAGTTTTATTTACAAAATACTTTCTGTACTTTATAACAGAGCTTTTTTTTTTGCAGACTCTCATTGTTAGCGTATGAGCTGCACCATATCTCGTATTTCGTGGACAAGTCATTAACATTTATGTTTTCAATGCCAGCAGAAGCTTGCTGTGAGTTTATGTTTGTTACAGGAAGAACAACTGATGTTGCACAGTGTCAACAAGCAAACATAAGTAAGACATCATTAGACATACATCTAATGCAAGCATATTGTTCAAAATTATGCATGTGTTGATCCACGAAATGACTGGGGTAGGGGAGGGGAAGACGGGGCGATTAGGGGCCGGGGGGGGGGGGGAGGTGCCGACAGGAAATTTATAAATCCACCTTGGATGACTCAATGACAGACATATGCTGTCACAATTTTGTATTAGTAGAGGACTCTCACAAGTCTAATTCCACATAAAGTGTGTGAATAATGTATGCTAGCCCGTAGTTCACAAGACTAATTTCTTTCCATGCACATGTATCAATCCATGGCTCCCGGCCGGGGGATTAGTGGGCCACTATGAGTATGACTAGTGGAATTGGATATGATCGCTCTGCATAATGTAAAACAGGAGTCTCTACATTATACAAATATAACATGGTTTGAGGATGGACAGTCAATATTCGCTCCCCGAGGTATTGGAAGTTGACAAACTAGTTCCCGAGGCGAAGTCGAGGGAACTAGTTTGTCAACTTCCAATACCAAGGGGAGCTAATATCGACTGTCCTCCCGAAATAAACCATGTTATGTTTTGTTTTACTATACTTCATACATATTCAGTTGCCGAATTTTTTTTTTTATATATGCACCTAAAACAAAATTCGGGGAAACTTGTACAGCTCACCAAAAGAATATTGTTGCTCAACTTATATTAGTTCTAGTTTGGTTCGTTTGCAATATAATACAATTACTACAGTTGTAAATATAGTTGTTTGTGTACAACTTTCTTTTGTAAGTTTTCTCCAGTACGGCATCATTGAGCTTTGGAAATTAACATTTACGCGAACCGTGCAACCATGCATCTCTCCTGGGCGATGTTCGCGCGTGCGTACTGCACCCGTGCGACAGTTCCTCGATTGCTCTGTAAAGCGCATGCGTAGTAGACTGTCGCACGGGTAACCCGTGCGACAGTCTACTACGCATGCGTATTTACACTGTGCGTGAATCCTCGCGCGCGCGTTTGGTAAACAGCAAGAATAACATCTGGCACGTGATGGTGAGTTGACCAGTGAGAGTTCGGCTCTCGATCATGAATATGTATGAGGTATAGTAAACTAGAATGTCAGCCACAGGCCTAGTTACAAAGCTAACAGTGACTAGACTGAGAAAGGGAAGTTTCTGGGAAGTACTGTACATGTACTGTGTATAAAGGAAAGAACTACGCATGCTGCAATGCCTTCTCTGGTGCCGAGAGTGCCGTCTTAGCCGGAGTTTACTGTACATGTAGGCATGTAAGACATCATTAGACATGCATACATGTACAAATGCAAGCATATTGTGCAAAATTATGCATGTGTTGATCCACAAATGACTGGGGGGAAGGGCAGCAGCGATGGGGGGGGGGGCGATGGGGGGGGGGAGTGCCGACAGGAACTTTATAATCCACCTTGGATGACTCAATGACAGACATATGCTGTCACAATTTTGTATTAGTAGAGGACTCTAACAAGTCTAATTCCACATACAGTGTATGAATAATGTATGCTAGCCTGCAGTTCACGAGACTAATTTCTTTCCATGTACATGTATCAATCCATGGCTCCCGGCCGGTGGATTAGTGGGCCACTATGACTAGTGGAATTGGATACGATCGCTCTGCATAATTTAAAACAGGAGTCTCTACATACTAGAATGTCAGCCACAGGCCTATGGTACCGTAGTTACAAAGCTAACTGTGACTAGACTGAGAAAGGGAAGTTTCTGGAAGTACTGTACATGTACCGGTACTGTACATGTACCGGTACTGTACATGTACATAAAGGAAAGAACTACACATGCTGCAATGCCTTGTCTGTGACTGAGTCACTTTTCTCTCAGTTTGGTTGCGTCATGTCTGTTTATATGAACTCCGCTGAACTCCTTATTGAAGTCAGTTAAAATAAAGGAGGTGTGTCTCGTCTGTAATGGCTTAGCTTAAATGATCAATGTCAAGGCTCTGGGGCTTTCTTGAACGTGTCCTATACATGATAATTCAATATTTGAATATTTGTAAATGTATATTGTAATTTTTTTATCAATTTGTAAAAAATTGCATTTGTCAATTTTTATCAGAAAGTACATGTAGGCCTACATGTACATTTGGAATGACTTTTGTACACTGTAGATGAAGTGACTTTTATAGAGTCACACTGTTTTTCTACACAATTTGAACACATTTATACAAATTCCTGTCGACTTACAGTTAATGAGAAATAAGAGGACTTTGTTATCGACAGACTTTGTTCCCCCAAATTACCCCATAGTCAACTCTGTGGTCTTTGAGTACATATATGTACCGGGTACCCCATATAATCATTTACTCAAAAAGCATCTCAAATTCTCTGAAAAGAAAAGTGCTTTCTATACATCTGTCGATTTTACCCCCATGGTGTGTCAAGAATGTATCATGTTCTTCTCATCATGGCTGTGACACAGGGATGCGTCAATTCAGCAGCAACGGAACGGTTTTCAAACTGGGGGGGGGGGGATATCACCAAAAAGGGGGCACTTGCTCAGTAAAAGGGTAAAAGGCATCTTCTGTCGGTGCAGCAGCATATCCATTTTTTGGGGCACATCCGTGCTCAAATGCTGACACGTTTTTTTCACCGGGGGGGGGGGGGGGGTGGTCTGGTACCATCTTCCAAAATAGGGGCGCTCTTTACAACCAGCCATTATGAAAACTAAACATTATGTTTCAAGTTGTCTACCGACACTCATTCAAATGGGCCATGTTTTGT